TTAGTTTCTTAAGGCAATACAAAGATATAAAATATAATAATATTATTGATATTTCATTATTATTATAATAATATCAATATTGATTAATGATTCTGATTTTATTATTAACTTATAGATTAGTAAAGTATTAACTTTGAAGAGATCTGAGTTCTTATAAAAACATTTGCCTTTAGTATACTAAGAATAAATATTAGATTCAAATTAGAGAAATACAACTTGAAATTATATATCTGTCCTTTTATAACGATTTTATATTATATTATTCTTGAAACTTGCAAATTATAAATAGAAAGAAGTTGTATATCTATTCTTTTGCAATAGCCTATTCTATTATAGTTTTTATATTCAGAAAAGTTATATATCTGTTCTTTTGTAACAACTTTTTACTATATATCCAATTGTATATCAGATATTGAACCAGACTCTGTAAATCTATTCTTTTGCAATGGATTTTATGTGACGGAACAGACGGCTCTCTTCCGCCCACTGGCTCATACTACATATGTAGTATAATATGACGGCTCTTTTTGGACCTTCCTTACACAGCTTAGAGCCCTAGCTCTACAGCTCTAGACCTAGGCATCGTACGATGCTTATCTCTAGGTCTCTTTCACCCTTTTGGGCCTAGCCCTTATGGCTCCCAATACCTGTATATATAGTCCTCCTTTTAGCATCCTACATAACTCTTCACTTGTAGATTCTAAGTACACAATCGGAGTCCTGTTTATACCCTTTTGGTCACACTTATTCTAATTTTATAAAGTATATTTATTATCTTTATATATAAAGATTAATATATATTCTCTAAATTAATATTAACGGAATTCTTATAAAGTATATATTTTTTATTTATATAATAAGACTCGGTGTATTAAAATTCGTTTTAATGATATGCTTTTATATATATTATCGAGCCTCTTGACTCTTGAGATATAACAACGGGTTCGTGGACAATTCATGAGATAAGTTACTATGACAACAATCAATAAGAAAGAAAGTTCACGGACTCTAAATTGGCGTATTACTTCAGAAAAAGTCCGCAACTTGTAAACTACAAGGGAGTAACCTAGTTTCTTAGTTCCCGAGTTGCAGACTTTCTGGCGATATAAGTAATGTACACACTATTGCGGCAGACATAATTAAGGGAACTAGAAAACCTTGTTTTATAAATGCTTGTATCTTTTGTTTACAGTTGGTCAACGATTCAAAGCCATCAAATACTGGAGGTGCTTACACAAGGAGTTGCAACAATTAACCTGGACAAAAGGACTTTGAAAAAATGTTGAAAGTAATTATTAATTTTAGACTTCTGATTGTTCGCTTTGACAGCGTTGTAAATATCCTGCAGCGCCGATTGGTACTGAATAATATTCGGTTGATCCGACATGAGCTATGGCACCTATTATGATCCGATGTATCCCAATTAATGGCATGGAAGTCACCGTGACCACGGTGCAATCTACATCGCAGATGTGACACTCTCTGGCCAAACCCTTTGTTGCGCAAGCCTAACAATGCATTAATAGATGGGGGATAATTGATGAGGCTTTTTCCATACGTTATTTGCTTCTGATGGCTTTGCCATTCCGCTCTTATTTGTCGTTGGTTGCATGAGAAAATGGGACTTGGGGGGAAACTGGGGGAGGGGGGCGGCAAGAGGGGGCGGGGCGGGGCGGCAAGGCTAAGAGAATAATGAGACTGGTACCCGTAGAATTCTATACGAGTACTACAACAACCAACCTTCCTCTCGTATCGAGGCCTGCAATTGCAACTGTCATTTGGCAATAACTCTGTAATTAATGTCGTCACTTCACATCCTACAAGGAAGAATTCGTGAATTTTTTGAAGTCATTTTAATGCCCTCAACGCCAACCTTTATCATCAAATCTGTAGGTAAGATGTTGTGAATGTAAAGACTGGATTTCCATCCGTCGTCGAAGATTTCCTGACATATTCTACCGTGCAAGGCATATCATAGGGCATCGCAGGTATTGTAATTAGCATCATAGATTCGTAGGTATTAAAGCTTTCGAGATATGTGTCTCTGAAAAGAGGTACATAGTTTTATGATAAGTAGTACTGTTACTGTAAATAGAGTTGCAGTTTTTCTAATGGCAGAACAAAGCGCCACAGGAACTTCGCCTCAACATCAAGTTGTGGATGGTGGAATCTCGAAACGAGGCAGTGCATCATATCACAAAATTAATTGTACTTGTAGTCGTACAGTACAGTAAGATTGATTTCGCAGAAAGAACCTTTCATCACCAATTATTCGAAAATCAATTGCAACCGAACCCTCGAAAGCTGAAGCAAGAAAAACCAGCACATCGGAATTGGGGACAGCTAGGAGTAATCTCAGATGGCGGATGTAGTTGATGATGGGTGGACAGTAGTGGTCGGTCAACCAGCCAGTGAGATTCGCGAAAAGAAACAGATTGAAGAATGGGAGCGCTCGAAAGGGGGATGGTCTGGATTTGGTAAACACCCCCAAAACTGGACTGACCTTAAGAAATTACACCTATCGACGGAGAAAGAGTTGGGATCTGGAAGCTATGGGCTTGTGCAGCGCGTTACGTATGGTGCTGTTACCATGGCCCGCAAACAGTGAGCATTGTCTCCAATATCTTGGTTCTATGAATCCGCGTATGGTTGCTGATTGATGGATGAATCTCAGTGTGGTACCTCGTGGTGGAATGACGGTCGAAAAGCTTCGAGAGGAAGCTAATGCCATGGAGGAATTGGCACATAAACATATTTTGAAGCTGGTTGGGACTTATACCTTGAAGCGCAAACATTTATACCTCCTCCTTTACCCCGCGGCAACTTGCGATTTGAGCACATTTCTCGATGATATAGATGGGATTCGTTCGGACACGTGCGCGGATAGGGACGATGCCATGAAAAGACTTCATGCCCTTGGGCTTAAGGATATTGGAAAAATCGATGATTTGTGCATGTTGAGGCGACCAATACCCCCTTCGGATTGTTCGACACATATAAGGAGAACAGAAACCGCATTGGGATTCCTACAACAAGTTATGGGTTGCATTACGGAAGCATTGGGATTTGTTCACGAAAAAGGTATCCGGCATCGGGATCTAAAGCCAAAGAATATTTTGTTGAGTCCGGGTCGGGTATACCTCGCCGATTTCGGTATCGCGAGAGATGTCAGAGAATCTGAGAATAGTATAACCTGCGGCAGATATGGTACCGCGTCATGGATAGCTCCGGAGGTATATGATGGAGAAGATCATCATATGTCAAGGGCAGATGTCTTTTCCCTCGGTTGTATATTCCTCAATATGGCGACAGTATTATATGGAGATTCAATTGAATTGGCGACATTTGACGAAGTAATGAAGGAGAAGGAATGGCCTACAAAATATGAGATGCTGTCAGCTCATTTGAATGAACTACGGAACAAGGCAATAAGGGCAGCGCTGGCTGATGAAGAAGAGCCCAATTTTGACGCTAAGAATATACTAGGCCTTGTGGAAAAGATGTTGTTATATGATGCTGGACAACGACCTACGGTAAAGGAGGTTAACGAAAGGTTATGTGAACTTGGGGGTCTGGATCAAATCTATCATCTATCTTGCTGTCATAAAAAGAATGACGTTATGTCTCAATCAATAAGTAAGCTTCGGCTATCATCTATTCCTCAATTGAAAAACACATTAATCATGATGACCAGATTCGAAGATGAGAACTATTTCCGAAAGTAGTCTTTCATCTAAGCTCAAAATCTCTGAACTCGAGATGGAGAATCGTACTCTGAGAGAACGTCTCACAACTCTTCAAAACAAAGACCAAACATACGAATTACGAATTGAGCATGAACGCAATCATGCGAAGAAACAAAACGATGTACTTAAAGAGCGATATGAAAAACAACTGAAGGCACAAACAGAAGCCTTGACCCGTGCAGAAGAGCGTATCAAGGCATTAGAAACCAACGGCAGTCATAAACGACGCTCATCTCACAACAGAGGCAGAGGCCGGAATATTCCCCAAGGAAGTCTCCACACCAACGGTAACCTCAATATCAACAATCTAGCTGTTCATACAAACCACAACCACACCATTCAACCTACGAAACCAAACTCGGGCCCCAAAACACCCGAAGGATATTTTACAAACATTCCACAGAGAAATGCAAGTTTCACCAATCTAAAAGATACCACACTCCAGCGCCGACCCTCTGGTATTCCAATACCTACTCGCTCATCAACACCAATCATCACACCTAATAGACCGGCATTCCATTCCCCTGGAAGTGGAAATAGTACATTGGTTAGTAGTACACATTCGGTATTCTCGAATAAGGGTGGTGCGCAGACGGATGGAAGTATTACTTCGGTAGAGAGTCCAAGTGAGACGATGAGTCCGCCTGATAGTCCGATTGATGGTTTGAGGATGGGGGAATCGACTTCGCACTTGATGAAAGGACCGCAATTGGAGAGTACGAGGCTAAAGATAGAGGGGAAAGAAAAGATGAAGGAGAAGGAGAGGACGATTAAACCCACTTGGGCGAAAATGGTGAGAGGGGGTAGGGTTTGAAAAAACAAAATATCATGTTCTAATGAAACTAAAGAAATAGAGGACGACATTGGGAAGAAAATCTAAATTCAGACAACAGAGCGGCCGAGGAAATATAGGCAGGCAATTCTGTGGAAGTGCATATTTGGGCACCCACCCCAGCTCCGTCGGAGGGAGATGGTTGAAATAGTTCCGGCGTGGGGAACTGTCACGGTACATGATCTCTAGTCACTACAGATAACTGAGATATAGTATTCGTTACGGAAATAACGTGAATAGCAATCATTTGGATCACAACACATATATCATCATCATCATCATAAACTCAAAAATAACTAAAGTATCTACTCGTAAAGATAAATACATACTTAAATAGATATAATTCAAATACGAATACAATTAACCCTCTTTGCCCCAATGAAACCCACCCGAGCTACTGTACCATTTCTAGAATATCAACTTGGTAATTACTGTTTTCTAAATAGTCTCGTTGGAGTGATGTGATGTGAGGTCAGGCGAGGTGAGGGGTAGTGAAGTATGAATATCTCCCGCTGAGGTGAGGTAAGGTGAGGTAAGGTAAGCTAAGGTAAGATGAGTCTCCATCCAGTCTGGCTTCTGACTAACTCGAAGATGGCGAAAACCTGAAAATTAAAAGGTTTGTGTGATGAAATACTTGGTTTCTGATGAGGAGTAAGTAACGAGTTACTAGTAAGTAATGAGTGCTAAATATTGGTCAATAACCTCATAAATCAATATCAACAAGTAACATTTAACTTACGAAGAAAAGAAATACTCGAGTAAGTATTTGTGAGAATCAATTTCCTCGGATTCAGATACCGTATTTGAAGTCAATAAATAAGGTGTGATTATGAAATCAGAGCTGGCAGCTAGCCTTGCTGTGTGAGGATTTTAGTTTTTGGGGTGTAATGGATGGTGTAATGGTTTGTGATGTTGTTGTTTGTTGTATTTGTTTACTGTATATTTGGTTGTATGGATAGGATACTACTTACTGTACAGTATCTACCTATTCCCTTGTGTATCATTCGATTATTTGATGGCTTGATTTATCCTTATATGGATATTATATACTAGGACAGTTATTACAGTACCCCTTCGCTTCCCTTATTTTCACATGGATCATTCATCACCCACCACCCATGCCCTCATCCCCCTCTACCCCCCTTCCTCAACACTCTTTCCATATTCCAGCATCCTCGCATCGCTCTCCAAAGACTGCAATCATGCCACACCATCTCCATCTCCATCTCCATCTCCACACCCCTTTCCCTTTCCCTTTCCCTCCCTCTTCTCCCTCCTCGCCCGATTAGCAGCCGCCAACCTCAACCCCTGTTTCCTCTTCATCTGTCTATAACTTTCCTTCCTTACTTTCTCTTTCTTTCCTTTCTCTTTCACTACTTTCCCTTTAACTACCCCAGTTGTGATATGGGTAGATTTTTCGGTTACCTTGTTGTGATTATGATCTTTTGTAACCTCTGTAACCTCTGTTTTTGATATATCGTTATCCGCTTTTTGGATATCAATATTTATTTCTTCCGACTCCATGATCTCTGGTACAGGCGAAATGGGAATAATTTCAGACGGATGTTCTGTTCTTGGTGGTGTGATTACAGTTCCTGGTATGGAGTCAACGATCTCTCCGTTCCCTTCCACATCGCTCTTTTCATCTCCTCCTTTATCTTTATCTCCCTCCCCATCTTCTTTCTTATTTCCTTTCTTATCTCCCTCCCCCTCCTCTTTCATTCTCTACCTCCCACCACCCCCTCCCCATTCCCATCTCTATCCTTCTCCCCCTCCCTCTCCACCACATCCCCCACCAACCACACCCCAGTCCCAGTCCCAGATCCAGACCCAACCCCATCCACCACCTTACGCGGAGGAAACCCCCTCCCAAGCGCAACCTGCAACGCCTTCCGATTCGGGCTATCAATCGGCCACACACAAAACACAACCCTCTTAATATATTTGCGACGCCGAGCACCGAATATTGGATGACGCAGGAAATTGCGCACTGTGCTTACGGCGATGCGGGCGGCGAGGCGCGGGGGGAAGGATTTGCGGCCTGTGGAGAGGGAGGGGAGAGCGAGGGTTATGGCGGGGTTGGGGGAGGGGGGTGTAGTGGGGGGTGGGAGAGAGGGAGAAGAAAGAGGTGGGAGGGATGGGAGGGATGGGAGAGCGGGGAGAGAAGGACTGCCTAGGCTGGCTGGACTGCTGAAACTACCGGATTTGCTGACGCCGCCGATATTTCGAAGGTTTCCTACACTGCCTATCCCACCTATCCCACCTACCTCACCCACTCCATCCATACCCGTCATTATCACATCACCGACCCCATCCACATCTTCCACATCTTCCATCACTACATCCGATCCAAATCCCAATCCCAATCCCACTTCACCTTCAGCTTCAACTTCCCCTATGCTCTCAGATTCAGCACCTCCCTCTTCCTCTTCCTCCTTCTCCTTCTCCCTCTCGCTCCCCAATTCATCCCTCTCCCTCTCTTCCCTCTCCGCAATCCCCATTGCCGCTATCAATGCCCCATGATAACAGTTAACCAACAGCTGTTTGACTAACGGCGTACTATATGATTTATCCGTAAAATTCGGGGCGTGGGTATGGATTATATATCTTGGTCTTCCTTCATCTTTATTTTTATCTCCTTTCCCATTCCCCCCATCCCCACCACCTACCCCAAAACTCCCCGCCACCCTCGCATCCCCCGCATTCAATCCCTCTCCCCAATTCCTCTCCCTCCACCTCACAAGTTCCTCTCCAGCCAAATGATCAATCAACCCGGGTAAAGATATCTGCGCCATATACGACTTATGCGACGCATGCGCAGACAAAGGAGAGTTAGGTATACAGGTACTAGTGTTGTGAGGATGGGTGAGTGGATATTTGGAGAGTGATTGCGAGATGGGGGTTACGATAGCGGTGCAGGGGCAGGAGGGGAGGGAGGCGAGGCGTAGTTCGAGGGGGACGAGGGGGTCGGGGGAGCTGAAGAGGAGGATGCCCGGGGAGAGGGGGGGGAGGGTGGTTGGGGTGGTGAGGGATGTGGTTTTAGGTGTGGTTGTGGGTGGAGAGGTAGAGGGGGGTTTGGAGGGAGGGTTTGATGAGTGTGGAGCGGGTGGTTTTTGGTTGAGGGAGGATTGAGTTGGTGTGTTCATTTTTAAGATGGGTTGAATATGCGGGGTGTAGTGGGTAGTGATATTGAGAAATATACAAAGAAGAAAAAGTGACACGAGAGATATTCTTATTGAATTTAAGAATGTATTAATTCCTTCCGTTCTGTCAGGGTAGTGGCAGCGTCAGATTATTCGAATACCGCATATTTGCAATTAACATTGAAAGACTAACATTGAGAGACTCGATCGAGATCAGTCTTTCACGCTCTTTCAAGAAATACAAGTACAACTAACTTCCTTTGTAATTTCAGAATATGGTTAATGTAGCCGATAACTTGTGGCATGCCAAAACAAAGGGGGATTTCGAAGCATAGGGAAGGGGTCTGTGGGTGGAACCGGAACCAGATTTAACAAAGATGAAATTTGACCCTGGAAAATAGAAAAAAATGGTCAGAAGAGGAATATTTCACGATGAATGTTTTCCACCACATGAAATTGCGATTGCAATGCCCACTTCGAATGATACAAAATTGATTATGCGCTTGACAATCGGTATATGTTGAAAATGCAGTATACCAGAATTGAGTGCTGTGGTGTGGTATCTTAACTCCAAGTCCGTTACACCGTTCCCTATTATAAATAACCCGTACAATCCAAATGTCGATGTCCCCAATCCCCCATTTTATGCACAGTGTCCGTTTGTTGCATCATTTCCCCCTCCCCCCCCCGCTCAATTATCACTGTTTGATGTTGCGTCTTCCTTTTTCGCGCATGGTCGATTGCGATCGTGATGTCTCCCTCATGGTCATTCTCCGATGCGATTGTCGCAATAATGTCGATGCCAATTGAATAGCCTTCATCATCCCCTCGATTTTGATCCAAGTTCATCCAAGTTACGAATTTATCGATCCGCAGGACTCAATTTCAATCCATCCAATGCCCCCTCCAACCACTTCCCCAACTCTTCAGCCTGTCTCCTCATACCCATAATACCCACTCCACCTCCCCTCGCACTCCTCAAACTCCCCGTCTCACTTCCCTCTCCATTCCTTATAATTTCCCTCTCATGTCCTTCATCCGGTGATCCCGGTTGCGATATTGATATTAAACCCTCTCTTTGGATCTGCGGTGTTGTTGTTCCTGATACACTGGGTCCTGGCCCTATTGCCACGAATAATAATCCACAGGCTAGTCTTCGTATTACCATTATGCCGAATTCCATTTGTATTAATATACTTTTGGTTTCTCGAGGTTTGGTATCATGGCCATTTGAGGTAGAGCCATTGGATGGCAGCGCATCTGACACGGTTCGCGAAGGAAATGGTGAGTAGAGTGTCCACAGTGATAAGGCGAGTGTCCCTTGGTGACGTAAGACTGATGCTGGGGAAGTTGATGAGGTACTGAGGAGTTTGCCGGTTGGTGTCAGGAGCATTAGTGTATGAAGATGTGGTGATATATTGTTTTGTAAGAAGGTGGATATTCTTTTGCTGAGGAGCATTGTTTGTTTATGTGGAGGATTGGATGCCATTGTTAATTTTGGTTATGTTCTGTGAGATAAAATGTTAGTTGAGTTGAGTAAGAACTAAGAACAACCATACAATATTATAAAACCCCGAAGAGTTAATTGATTGTTCAAGAAATGATAATAATAATAATAATAATAATAACAATAATAATAATAATAATAATAATAAGAAAAGTGAATATCAATTGTGAGCTGATAAGAGTAGAGTTTAGCAGACTCGAGCAGGGAAAGTTATATTAATACATGAATTATAGTTTGTGTTTGTATAACAAATGAAGGTTTACAAGTCGGTACTGGGAGAAAGAAAGCTTAGAGGAAAGTCCTCGGCAAAGTCTGGGTCTATGAAGGGTTGGAAGCCGAAATAAATTCTTGTTTGTCACATCCTCATCTTCTTCTTCATCCTTCATCTACTGTACTGTTCATTTAATCATGGAACAATGGAAATTCTCTTAATCAAAGCATTTTCATGTTCAATTAACAGAAGATCTCTGATCAGAATGATTATTGGATAGAAGAGGGTCAAATAGGTAGGTGGTGTACTCAAGTACTAGAAGATCACTGCCATCTAGTACCGATATATCTTCAAGTACTCATATTGAGATGGATGAACTCGGATTTACTATATATCAACTTGTATAGCTTTCCATTAGACAATACTCAATTTTGGTCACAAAAATAAATTCGAGCTCTGATCCCCCCCACACGTCATAGACTAGCCGAAGAGATGGACTTTCCTCTCCCTCTCATCTCTATCTCTTATTTTTGTACCCCTCATAATCTAAATAACTTCTATCTTCAATACACTTCAATACAAGCTCAGTTGTTCTCCCATACCTTCTATGTACTCGTTTCGCAGTTTAAGTTACAGAACCATCAAATCAAGCTTTTTACGTCAGAGTATTGTGGATTCAGGTACGATCAATCAATATCTTAAGCTACCAGTACCTTATGCAGCTTGCTAATCAGATATCCCTTCACAGCTAGCAGATCATACGCAACAATGTCTACCGATCCAAAGACCTATAAGTTCAATCACTCGATGTACGAATGCGAAACATGGTACTCCTTCATGGTAGGAGGCTAATTGATTGACAGGATTCGAGTCAAAGATCCCAAGGAATCTGGTAAGTTTGTACCTCGCATATATGCAGTCCATTATCTTCCATAGCTAACAATTTATGCAGTCAAATTTTATGAATACTTAGGCATGAAGATGATTCAAAAGATTGAGCAACCGGAAGCTAAATTCGACCTTTATTTCATGGGTTACGATTCCCCAAAAGCTGCTTCACACGGAAATCACTTCACCGATCGTGAGGGATTGATCGAATTGACACACAACTATGGAACTGAAAACGATGCCAGTTATAAAGTTTCAAATGGAAATACTGAACCTCACAGAGGCTTCGGGCATACTTGCATATCTGTGGACAATCTTCAAGCGGCTTGTCAACGAATCGAGGATGCCGGGTACAAATTCCAAAAGAAATTATCCGATGGGCGTATGAAGCATATTGCTTTTGCATTGGATCCAGACAATTACTGGGTTGAGATTATTGGACAAAATCCTATTGAAAAGACCGAGGATATTAAGACGACAGATGTCGAGACATATCGCATGGTATTATTCTCTTCTATGCGCAATGGACAGACATATGGCTAATTAAACTGTAGAACCACACTATGATTCGTATCAAGGACCACGAAAAGTCCTTGAAGTTCTACCAAGAAGTAATGGGCATGGAACTTATGCGAACAAGTGAAAACCCGAGTGCCAGTTTCAATCTTTATTTCCTTGGTTATCCTGGAGTTAAGAGTACTACAACATCTGCAAACGGAGTCAATCCAACAGCGGACCGTGAAGGTTTGTTGGAATTGACCTGGAATTATGGTACGGAAAAGGAAGAGAACTTCAAGTACCACAACGGTAATGATGAGCCACAAGGTTTTGGTCACATCTGTAAGTCGCACAATCATTTTCATGTATGAATTTCACTGACATTGCAACAGGCGTGTCAGTTGATGATTTAGATGCAGCATGCAAGAGGTTTGAGGATTCGGGAGTTAACTGGAAGAAGAGATTGACTGATGGTCGTATGAAAAACGTGGCATTCGTTCTTGATCCTGATAATTACTGGATTGAGGTTGTTCAGAATGAGAGGTTGAAGGGAAGAGCTAATTGGTAAATATTGAGTGATACATCAAGGTAGACTGCAGTAACCATACATTATTAACCATAGAAGCGAATGAGTGCATATTTCGTCAATACAGGTGACCTCTTCTTTTTACACACAATGATAATATATCGAATGAACATCGTTCCTGGATGGCGGTTCTTCAAAGTGCGGGGTGAAGAGGGGTGAGGAGGAGTGGGGGTTCCGTCTCATTCTCATTAGATCTCATAAATTTCAAGGACGAATCAGAGTTCATGTCCTTTATTGTCATACCATATAAAAAGGCTAATGTGTTCCTGTTCCTATTCTTGTTCCTGTATGCTTTTGCCCGTTTGCTATTATTGTATTTCCTTCACTTTATTTTATCTTCTCTTTCATATCGATTTTAAACAAAGAGTGAATTTGCAAGGCAGATTAAATTACATCAACACAAACAGTTGTGAAATATTTCGAGATTTGTTACATAGGCTACTAGTGCATACTGTACATGGGCTTCGAGAAATTCAATTTCTCCCTCAATCAACCCACAAAACATCTTTAAATTTACAATGGCACCTCCAGCTCTAGCCACTTTCGACGCTACTTCCTCCAGTCTCGAAAGCTGGCCCAAAATCCTCATCCCCGAAAAAGTATCCGTAGACGGCCTCGCCTTACTAGGAAATACTTTTGAAATCCACCAGCCCAAGTCTCTCTCGCCCACAGAACTCCTCTCTATAATCCCACACTACTCCGCCCTCATCGTCCGTTCCGAAACAAAAGTCACCGCCGAGGTCCTCGCCGTCGCCAAAAATCTCAAAGTCGTAGCACGAGCAGGCGTGGGTGTGGATAATATAGACGTGGAAGCCGCGACTAAACATGGTATTATCGTGGTTAATTCACCGAGCGGCAATATTGCGGCGGCGGCCGAACATACGATTGCGTTATTGATGGCGGTGGCGAGGAATGTGCCAGCTGGGGATCGGTCGTTGAGAGGGGGTAAATGGGAAAGAGGTGGGTTAGTAGGCACGGAGGTGGGGGGAAAGGTTTTGGGGATCGTGGGGTTGGGAAAGGTGGGGTTGATGGTGGCGAGATTGGCGGGTGGGTTGGGTATGAAGGTGCTAGCGTTGGATCCGTATGCTAGTCCGGAGATTGCAGAGGCAAATGAGGTGTTGTTGGTGAAGGAATTGAGGGAGTTGTTGCCAGTGGTGGATTTCTTGACAATTCATACTCCGCTTATCGCTAGCACCTTGGATTTGATCGGGAAGGAGGAATTGGGAATGATGAAGAAGACGGCAAAAGTACTGAATGTGGCGCGAGGGGGAGTCTATAATGAACAAGCATTACTCGACGCTCTCAACGAGAACATCATCGCAGGTGCAGGTCTCGATGTCTACACATCCGAACCACCTCTCCCCTCATCCCCCGCGCAAAAACTCACTCAACACCTCAAGGTAGTCGCAACACCACATCTAGGCGCTTCGACGATCGAAGCCCAAGAATCGGTTTCCGTCGATGTCTGCACGCAAGTCCGATCGATTCTCACCGGAGGTCTCCCCACATCTGCCGTTAACGCGCCGCTGATCCTACCCGAAGAATATAAGAAATTGCAGCCGTTTGTTAAGTTGATGGAGAAAATGGGGGGACTTTATACGCAGCATTATGGGGGGAAGGGGGTTGGGGGCAAGAAATTTCAGGTGCTTTATGAGGGGGAATTGGCGGGGATTTATAATACGAGGCCGTTGTTTGCGGCCTTGGTTAGGGGCTTGATGGGTAGTATTAGTGAGAGGGGAGGTCGCGATGTTAATATTGTGAATGCGGCGTTGTTGGCGAAGGAGAAAGGCATTGTGATTAGTGAGACGCATGTTTCGGAAAGTAGGAATTTGGTGTATGCCAGTCTTGTGACGTTGAAGGTTGATGGAAGTGGAGGTATAGGTGTAGGAGGTATAGGAGTTGGAGAGAAAGGAGCAGAAAGAATTAGGGCAGGCAATGGAGATCAAATAATCAGTGGTTATGTAAGTGATCGGGGTATTTTCATAAGCAGACTCGATAGGTTCAGTACTAGTTTTGCGCCCGAGGGCACATTGTGTGTGTTGAGGAATAATGATGAGCCCGGGAAGATAGGGGTTGTGGGGGGGATTCTGGGGAGGGCCGGCATTAATGTTAGGTTTATGAGTGTGGCGGCTGTGGATGAGAGGGGTGAGAAGGGGTTGGGAAAAGAGGGGATGGGAGAAGAGGGGATGAGAAATGAGGGGAGGAGAAATGATGGGAAGAGAGAAATTAAAAATGAAGCGTTGATGATACTGGGTATTGATGGTGTGGTTAGTAAGGAGGTAGAGGAGGAATTGAGGGGTGAGGAGGGCATCTTTGATGTGGGGATCGTTCATTTGTGATGGATGGATGGATGGATGGATGTCAGTGGGGTTTAGGGATGGGACGAGAGGATGAGCTTTGTGGTTTGTCGCTGTGAATGTGGAGGAGGTGTTTGATGATGGGGGATTGGAAATTGGATATTGGAGAATTTGAGAATTGGAGATTAGGAATTGGGAATTGGGAATTAGGAATTGGGAAATGGAGAATTTAAATTATGTTATACAATATGATGAAAACGGATAATTATTAGGTGGTGAAGCAATGGAATAGCATTCAGTTTACTTCACAGTAAGTAGCTCGTATCTCGTATCTCGTATCTCGGAAATCAGAATGACAAACTTTATTGAAAATGATATCTAGCCAAGGTTTGAAGATTTCGGGAAGTGTACACCATATACGAGTATATCATCGGGTTACAAAATTGCTTGAATCTGAACTATACTCGAGTATGTTTCTGTTGATGTATAAGGGTTGGATTGGGTTGAATGGGTTGTATTGGATTAATTTGGGTTTTGGGAGAGAGAAGCCTGAGGGAAGGGGGGCATGGTTACTTTTATTTCGTTCTTTGGTTATTGATATCTAGCTACTGTAATAATCTATCGTATTGTACGAGTATTCTATTATATAGTATAAGGTTGAATTAAGATAGGACAAAGATATCTAACTAACTATCTAACTAACACTAATACACTATAACTATATATTCTAATTAGTTAGTTGATAGTACTCGATTATTTCTTTGACCTATCTAATCTATTACTCGTATATCATTAGTTATTGATTGCCATTATCAACCGCTACTCAAGTACACTATTTAAGATGAAATTTCATACGGAACAATCTTCTACGAGCGAACATTGCTTTGTTAGTGGTGCAGATGGCAGTGCAGGTGGGTGCGAAGAAGCTCGAAGTCGGTAAGTAGCCCAAGACGCCTCCGTCTTCAAAAGTTATTATTTGTTTTGTGGATGTAATTGTATATGTGTTGTGGTTGGGTGTGTATGAGTATATGAGTATACGAGTAGATGGTTGTTACTTTCAAAGGAATTCGAGTATCGTCACTTCACTTTATCATCGTCACTTTTTTTTTCTCTTACTTTGTTGATATGTGGAAGATGTATTTTGCTGGCTGGCCTGTAACCGCGGAGTTCTTAGTGGATAATCATTATATGTTCACTATTGTGACCATGTGCAGAACAGTCTCCGTTCTTAAGATGATGTATAGAGAGCAATACTTGGATAATTTCTTGCACATTTAAATAGAGGAACGGGAGTGTTAACAGAAAGTAGGCTTTAATCCAAAATCAACGAATAGGAAGATTTATTATTAGTTGAGGGTGTTTGTCTCAGAGAGGGTATTTGAAGATAGCGTGACAGATATCAATACTAAATCTCGCGTATCAATTTATACGGATATTATATTCCGTCACGATTCTCCCTACCACTTTTGATTTCAAAGTAGAGCACGTGTACTCGAATGTTATATTCATTAACTTAGACATACAAAATAGAGTTGAAGTACTCGAGCGTATACGAGTATATATAAGTCAGTGACTACTAATGTGTTGATTCTCTTCAAGCTTGTCTAAATTGTTCCCCATCCTCAACAAGTGCTTTTTCTCAGTAGCTAGTATATGCTCGGGCTTGAATGAAATGTTTCATGTGGAATAGATGATAGAATGGCCTAAGATGTTGGTAAAGAGGTAAAAATGTGGGAGAGCTGGCGATGAAAGGTTGTGGTTGTTGTCTACTGTGAAATATTTGTCACTGTATTTATAATATTCATCATGGCTCTTTTAGCTTATATTAATAATATGGATTCTGATGGTAATAACTTGGATTTAAGACAAAGACACTTGATTATTTCAAATTGACACAGAAAGGATACAGCATTGTTAAAAAATATACAAGCATACTTTGGGGGCCGCTTTCCATCGTTTCCATTATCTTCGCTATTGAATTATGATTGTCAATCTCTGATTTAGAAAAGTGTTGTGAATAACAAAATTAGTTTCTCTCCATTAGTCACACTTCTATACAAAACCTTTTAATTGCGCAAGCTGCGAAACTTTAGATAAAAATACTGTACACGAAATTTATCTATTACTCGTTCCTTTCTTCCTAAATAATGTAACCAACCCTCTCTCGCAGTGCTGTATGTTCGAAAGAAAGTTGAAGTGTGGAATTAGTTGAGGTTTATATGCCGGTACTCTTTTGCGAGATACTGAGTTTGAGCTAGCTCTAGTTTAGAGATTAGCCCATCTGTGCTGTATGTAATGTTCGGAAATAGGCTGACTCATAGGAATCATTCTTTATTTCTTGATGCTAGTGCATTTGAGATAGCAAGTTCTGGATAAAGAACCCGTTGTGAGGGGGAAAAGTGGTGACTTTGGACTAGCTGATTAACTGTATGAGATTCTACAACAGCTCTCATTAAAACTTCGTTCTCAATATGATACCTTAGCATCCTATCAATTACAGAGACATCAAAACCGGGAAAGGCACTTTGTTCTCTGAGTTGGGTTTAGACATGTTGTCGCGACTAGAAGAGCAGAGAGAATTGGCTAGCACACAGCTGAAAGTCAAGTCAATAGTCAAGTAAGAGTAACTACAAACTTGGAATCCTACAGCTATCAAACTACTTTGTTGAAAGTGTATTGTGGATCTTTGTCGATAAACTCTTCGACCGTGACATCATATTACATTACATACACAAACTCTAGGCCCAAAATCAAATACAAATTCCGGAATTGGTAGCGAATTTAACATCTATATGAACTCTTCGTATCCCATTAATCCGGGTTGTGGTGGTATCATAGTTACTTTTGCAAGACCCTCTCAGGTGTTGTGTTGTATCAACATGTATGAGTTTATGATGTTTGCGCTACTTGGGGTTTAAATTCTTGGGTGAAAGCATCGGAGTTACCTTCTTTTGTTGGATTGTCATTCTGTAGTCATTATTGAATAACTTTGTTTGTTTTTTGCGCTGTTGATGGTTTAAGCTTCAATTGTCGTTGTTTTGCATTTGCTACTGTGTAGTGTATAATAGGATTCTTCAACTTATGTACTGGTATCTATTTCTTCCAAATCACGAGCTGGCAATTGGTAGACTCGTGTGAAATCTCCTCTCATAATAATTCGCTCATTGTAACCATTGGATATTGATATCCGCATTTCACGGCTTGGTATGTACAATCTAGAGACTAGATGTCACTATAGGCTGTTTATAAACTCCAGTCATCATCGAAGTTGATAGTATGTTTGAAAGGAGCCTAGCTGCTGATCTTCTTACTAATTGATTCATTTAAATCGTTATGGTTCTTGAATGTATGACGTATTCTCCTTTTACTCAGCTCGAAGCTCATGATATCTACAGCGATCTCTAGCTTAGCCCCCTCCTCTTCCATATTCTTCCTTCCATAATCCCACGACTATAAAGTGCACACTTCACTCCAGAATTCCTGGCGAAAATGACATGGAAATCAGTACCATCTACACCAAGGGTGCACTGTTTAATTTCTAGCTTTCGAGTTGATTGAGAGATAAATTCTTCTCCGACAGGAAGGTATTCCATGTTTGTATCTGCACCATTTGAACTAAATCATGTGGATATAATCATTATCATTAATTTTGAATATTCTAATATTATTCACGCTATAAAATATCCTTGTTATCATTACATGCCTTGTGGCTTATATGTACTTTGAAATTTTAAAAAAAATGTTACAAAGAGCTCCGTTTAGCTCAAACCCTCACGGTCGTGAAACCTTTCCATCATGATCAGGAGTTTGACTACGCTGCTGCATGATGTCTAGAGACCAACTTTGAGGGTTGTAACAACCCTTAAATAGTTTATGCGAGTTTCAAATTCTCTAGTCACGAGTCACGGTTTGTCTCAATTAAATTAGGTTAAGAAACGAAGATTCCGGTTCTCCTGGTATATACAACTCCAGACATTGAGAGAAAATGGCCAGATAAATGAACGCAGGTAAGACAACTCACACGGGACTTATGATTCCGTATTTCCTAATTTGCTGTACTTGGGGGACTGTGTCTATGGGAGAGCTATTGTCTGGCAGTACTCGTTATGAGTAAACTCTTTGATTTTCATTCCACTGCTTGTTTCCATTGTCGTTTAAATTGTGAGAAACATCCGTGAAAACTTTCGCTGTTGTTTAAGATACAAAAATTTCATATATTCTGTATTGAGTACATATGTTTTTGTTTTCTCACCCTCGAGCGCGTACTACAATTAGTTGCTTTCCGCCATTGGTGATTTATGGAAGAAACTCCGTCTCGCAAACTCCACCAGTCAGCCCATAGGAGAAGAAGGACGTAACTGTGTAGCTCTTTGGAGATTATCTTCAGCTCTCCCGTGGCTCTTTATAATGGATAAATGATATATTAAACGTAAAGTAAGCGCTATATAATAAGGAGTAATGGCTATGGGGGAGTCTTAAGTATCTGCAGAACTTCAAGAGAATACAGGAATGAATGCCCTGGAAAAATTTGTTGGATAATCTTTTACTTTGTGTGGGATATATCGTAGGTGAGGAAGTTCGTATTGCTCAGTAACTAGAATACTCATGCACCCATATGAGAGCCCGGGTGCTTAACATCTCTCAATGTTATCTGACTAGATTTGGTAGTACGAATTAGCCAATGGAATTTGCACGGTCTTGGGAACTTTTATTGTCATTCGATGTGTATTTATTACCCATCATCATACTGCACCTCCTCGGCTCTTCTTGCTGTCGCTTATACCAGAGCTCACTTATCGTTATTCTCGCAAGCCACCATCATCGTTACAAAACAATGTGATCTTTCCATCTGTTCTTGTGGTCTTGATCTGCTATGTTCATTAGAAACAGATTATATGCCCTGGTTTCCATCGACCTCTAGGTTAGAAGGAACATACATTCCTTTATGTAATAGATGCAACTTATTGTTGCGTCTCAAGCTACACTCCTTGTGACATCACTTATATTTAGGAAGCAGCTTTAGGAAGCAGTCGAAAATACTTTGGGGCGCCTGCGCCTCAGGTATGCTCCACAACCATCTCAAACGTATATTCGCATGTCACGCTACCAGTTGAAGCAGTCACTTAGTCATTCTTATTTGCGTTAATCGTCGGTTCAATAATAGAATTTACAACATCATGTGAGGAGCAGCCCGATTATAGCAATGTAAATATAACTAGTTTGAAAAACTAGATTCACTTCTGAGTGCTCCTAAGAACCTGTCAAACTTTAAGGGGGTTTATTGAACTAACTGCGTGCGTATTAAGAGATTTTTATTCTATCTTCATGTCTATATATATTCCCAATGAGAGGACTTAGGAAAACGTACATAAAAAGGGTGAAAACAAAGGCTGCTGAGAACAAATACATCAGACTGCGGTTGTTTTCTGCTGGGTGTTTTGTCAACACCTATACTTCTGGATTCTTTGGGGTCTCTCAATGTCACCTAAGTACCGATTAACCAAGTCACTCCAAAAGTCCGAAAAGAGAAGCGTGACATTTGGATCAATGAAAGTTGTATGTGCCATTATACTTTGTGGGCCACTTTAGACTTCCTACAACCTCGAAAGTGGCTGTGAGGAGAATTTCGAGTGTAAGAATTTGACTATTTAGACACTGCTAACTCTGGATTGATCGGGAAAAGAAAAGGAATGTAAGTGCGGCTGTACAACTATGCATTGCACGCACTTTAGGAAAGAGCCTAAAGCTGAAATCCAAGAGTCTCAGGTCATTTTGTTGAATTCAGGATACAGTCCTCCTTCTTTACTGTACTGATAATCATTGCTAGGGGGTAAAGGAAGTGAACCCTCGGTTGAGTAATGATAGTGCCTCCTATCATCACCTCCACATTAGCAATCATTTGCCCGGATTAGTAGCAATCGTGGGTCAATCTAGCATGAATATGGGATGTCCACATCATTACAAGATAGCAGCAATGATGTCTGTTGATTTGATCTCATACACAGATTATTGTGGAGATTGCCAAGAAGTTTAGCGAAAAACATGTCCGACCCTCCCATGCCCCCATGTTTCCTTTTACTTGTCTTCATGAAGAGAAACTTTCTGTCCGGAGTTTATCTCTGCACAAACTCAAAGTTGCTTTCCAGGAGTGAAGAGAAGACTGGAAGTTTCGGATAGGATCAGTGGGTTTCGAGCAAGATAGTCCATCTATGGCTGCTACATTGTTCTGTCCGTAGCCTGTCAGACTTTGCTTCCCTTCCAATCCTCAACAATATGCATATTGAAGCAAGCAACCCTTCTTTAAAATCTTGATCACCTTGAATGCCCTTTTGATTGGGCTTTTTCTGGACAGTAGTGACAATACAGGAAGGTTCAAATTGAAGTCAAATTATTAGTATTTCAGCTAGTTCATTTTCTTGCTACTAAGATCATCAGTTACTGAGAATCAGACATCTTCAACTTGAATATTGATATATTTATCATTCGCTGTAAAATAATTCTTAAAAATCAATCACCGTGACAGCCTCACAGAATTTGCATTGTCCAATCCTTTTTAGACAACCATCAGCTGTACTAATCAAAGATAGTCTCTCTAACTCATCCTTTGATTGTTAGAGCTCAAATCAAGCCTGTGATGCTCCAGTCACAACATATAGTGGACCTGTTAGCATTAATAATCCTGATTTGACTCCTCCAAGTGCTCAAAAATCTCATCATCATTACTAACATTTACTAGGATCAAAGGTTACTCAACATATGAATACAATCAATAAAGCTTACTAGATTGTTAAAAAAGAATCTGTTTCCTGTCAGGTTTAGAGTGAGATTGGAACACTTACAACTCAGAGTGTTGTCATTGATAGTTGTTTTGGAAGAGACTTGGCTCCTTATGATTATCTGGGAAACTCCTGTAATAGCAACATAGTCATTTTACATGTATTATCATTTGCTGAATATAAAAATAACAAGGATTGCCTTTTATCTCATGATAATAAAGTCATGTGCTTGTAAGACATCACATCCAATGCGACATCCTGTAGGGACTTAATTGCTATCTATGTGAGAGCTTCCAGGTCAGTATAACACTATTAAGCACTTTGTTAATATTCTCCTCGCATGAGATAGCTAAGTCCGACGCTCATTGGCCGAGAACTTGAAATTAATATTTCAAAATGGGGTTAGCCCTCGGAGCCGAGTTGTAAATTTCTCACACAACAAGATATCTTCCTTTTTCTAAATTCAAAACAAACAATCAAGATCGACACCTGCTCTTTACTTGATACTCATCTTCTTTCCAATAACAATTCGGTCTTATACACCCCAAGCATCTACAAGTTCAATGTTTTCTGTGGTTTGAAGTCTGATACTTATACTTCAACACTGTTCTACACCTATCTGTAAGTTATTGTATCAATAATACTCCCTATAACCTGACTCGATCTTTGTTTAATAATTTTGCTTCGAAGATCGTCATCTATCATATTTTCATTTTCAATTACTAATAAGAACTTGAATTAGATATGGAACCTAGTGTCATGGTGATGTGCCATTCATACAAAGCCCTTCAGCTCCATTTATGAAACAAGTTGCCGATCGAAGGTTTCTCTTGTAGAATTACTGGACATGCAAAGATCACTCTTTGGTAAGTTTCAAATCTCATTTTCTATCTGAACAGCTGGTTGAATCCTTGGGACTCTCTCTTACCTTCTCTTGTCTCTCATAATCCAATATGGTGCTAATTATCTCGATAGAGGTTGGTCAGCGCCGTCAAGATCTCAAGAACTTTCAAACCGCTGGATCCTCTTCGCCGCAACTGTAAGTATTCATTTTCTTCACATTTCATCATCTTGTATTTGCCTCACACTTTTTTCGGTGTTTGGCTACAACATACATATTCGAGTATGATAGTTACATTTACTGACTAAATTAATCATCACAGGTTTCAACAAGTGACGAATACCATAGGAAGAACCTTCATCTCACGTACGAAAGAATTCCGCACTTTCCCTTCCGAGAAAACTGAACGTTATCAAAGAATCAAGATGATAATGGTTCCGCGTACGGTACCGGCGGGCAACATTCCGTCATGTGATACATTATTATGTGTCTACAGTTCCCATAGGATGATGAGGGGAATAGAGATTGGTATCCCAATCTCCACCTCCTCACTATCATCCACCAAGTTCAGACTGGGCTTCAGGCGGTGGTTTTCCCAATCGTCGGGTAGAAAGAACCATGGTGTTCCGCTGGGGTCTTATCTGCTGTGATGCAGAGTGTGCTGAAGAGCGTGCCGCAGAGCGCGAAGCAGCCTGCAGGCATGCAGATGCAAGGTGGTGTTGTGCCCGGTGCTTTTGGGGGTACTCCGGGGGAAATAGGGGGAGGGGACTCCTCAGCCCATGAACCAGTTACCCCGGGGGATGGGGGGAAATATGGTGGCATGCCACGGGATATTACGGCACTCCTCAGCCCATGAACCTGTTCACCAGATAATACACACCGTTTTAGTTGGTGGTTTGTCTGGCTATGTGATTGGCTTGCTTCAATCCTAACAATATAGCATGACATAGCATAGCCAGGCAAACCACCAACTAAAACAGTCTGTTGTATTATTCATGTAATATAGAAGACTAAACAATGTTACAACATATTTATTCCACCTGCCTTTGATCTATTTTTGATTATTAAAATGTGTGAAGCTAGAAGGCATTATGTGAGGTTTAAACATGTATGCATGAATCTACAGCAGGCCATGAGATGAGGCTCTCGACATGCACAACAGAACTTATGTTCCTCTAATATTCTCATGTAACAATTGTTTGTACAGAAATGTATCATGAGGATTCAGCCTCTGAGCCTCGAATCAAACTATGATATATCCAAGCTAATCTAATTTTATGCCCGAAATCCTCAGCTAAACCAACAGAGAAGTATATTCAGCCTTATGAAGTCAAATTATACATCTCCCAGACGGCCCGATAAGAAGATTGTTAATCTAACTATCAAAAACAGATTAGGGTATAACTTCTTTATGACCTCGCTTACCACTCCCGATCTCACCCACCGATCTATATGGAAATCTCCTGGAGCTCTATATTTGCTTTCTGAACTTACTTCTGAAGAATCGACCACTTTGTCGATCTATGAACTGCTTGAAGTGAACCATGTACACTGATCCATAGTTCTTCTTTAGTTATTTGAGATACAATTGTGTCAACAATAACTCATCCTTTGGAAACTTGAAGACTGTTTTTGACTCTTTTGGTCAGTATATCTCGATCTTTATTCTTGATCATGTCTACCCTTTGTATTGCTGATTACTAAATGTTTCCTCTTCTATTCTAGTCAATCTACTTTAAATCAACCAATACAGTCATATCAACAAGGATACTGTCCTGTCTATTCTCCTCATTGTCTTCTCTGAGATTGAGTTCTGTCTGTGCTAAGAGCAGCTTGCTCATCAACCTTCATCTCTTTATTTTGGTTCTGGAAATGAGAGTCAACCTATTGCTGTATTAGAGATTTTCTTCTTTTTGTAAGTCATGTCTCTAAACAAAAGATTAAGAAGCTTTTCTAATCATGTTCAATTTTTAGGATTCAACCACTACACTTGTTCCACCACATGTGATGCTACTTCCTATCCTTTCAGATATTGTAAGTATTGATAATTCTCCCAAGATTACTGGAAAGTACCAAAACTAATGGTATAGTCAATAAGTCAACTACCCCACATATGGACCACCCCCCCTTTTGGACCACCCTAAAAAAAAAATAGACCCCCATCTCCCAAACCCTATAATTCAATAACTATCCAACTTCAATAAAATCGCCTGTACCACCACTTTCAGTTATATCATCGCTATCTTCTGCATTAATTCTATGGTCTCTAGTTACGATTTATACCTCCCTAATAACTCTAATCCCTGAAAACCTGGTATTTGGATTAATAACAATCTTACATCTTTTCTTAGATATAATAGTATTCAATTGATACTCCAATTGCTTTATACACTTCCCCAATTCTATAAGATTATAATCCTTAATATCAAAAGCTTTGGTAATCTTACAAAAAAGCAAGCATCTTATTAGCAAATCAGGCTCTTTTTCTTAGATTATAGTTAACGCATATAATCGAAGGTTAAATACTTTTTGAAGGGTTTTCCATATAATAGCTGATACCCCTATATTCCATTGAAGCTGGGTTAGATACTAAAACCTCTTGATTACTGTTCTCGAGTAATAATCGATTTATAAAGGGTTTAGTATAGTTTTTAGGCTATAAATCCAATGTTTTCTATCCAACTTTAATATTATGAACTATTAAAGCTTTTATTCTAGTCTTCTGGTAGCAATATAGAAAGCTACATTTTCCAATTGGTATAGAATCAGAGAGAGAATTCAAATTATTGAATATATATCGATATATATTTTTTAAAAATAAAAAAACTGATAAATCTAATAGTTATAGAATATGTAAGGTATATAATGGTAGGAATAAAAGATATATATTGTTTTCGAAGTATTTATATATGAAGGATATAGTTTTATGACTTCTATAATTATCCAATATAAGTAATTATATATCACCAGCCTCAAAAGGGGTAATTTGAGATATAAAAACCTTTTCTAATTATTCTAGTTTTGTTACATCTATAGTTTATTTATTATTAATATTAATAAAGTTCCAATCCTTATAAAGAGCAAGATTAATAGGAAACTATTGTTATTGAACATATTTTCCCTTAAAAATGATGAGTGATATGAATACTTGCCTTATCACTGAAATACATTTGATAAAAGATATCCACACTCTTAAATCAGGCTGTTTTTTCTGAATATTTTGATACTAGAAACTTTCTATTATTAGGCCATTGAGACTGTAACCCTTCATTATATCAGCCTCGTCTATATTGTATCGATTTTCAGGTTTTATATTGATAATCTCTAATAATTCGAGTTTTCGAAATTATAATATAATAATATCATATGAGGTACCCGAAACTCGGGTAGAGTCGATTCTATACTGTCTCTTAGTTCTAATCTCTGAATTCCTCTCCAAAAAGTTGTATACCCATCACTTTCCAAGAATAAAATCGAGTTCTTTTATATCGAGGAGATATTCCCTAATTTCTTGAATTTGCTAATAGATAGGATTAGTACTTAAGTTCTTTTATATTAATATTTATTCCACTAAACGTTTCTTTTGAATCAGGGCAATCTTTTACATACTTTAATGACTTTTTTGATAAAAAAACGTAGTTATTAATACAATTATAAAATATAATGCAAGGAATCCTATAATCCAAAACAGCTTTTTGTATCGAAACATTATTCACGATAGTATTTAAAGCTGTGGTAATATCGTTTTCAATGTAGAGTTTTGATATTATATAAATAATAGTATATCAAAATTTGAAATCGATTAATTGAATGGTTATTTAATTATGAATTTTTGAAGAGGATAGGTTGCTTAGGCGGTGTGGGTTTTTAGGGTGGTCCATAAGGGGGGGTGGTCCATATGTGGGGTAGTTGACTTAGCTGTTCCTCTCACTCAGAGAAATTTCTGTGCTTCTCAGTCTCCTCGATCTTGGTTGCTTAGAATAGCACTTCACCATGTGTCTTTCTACACGACTCTTGTCTGTTAACTTGACATATGCCAACTTTCCAACAACCCAGAATACATCTCTTGGGTCCATAAAACCTGTACCACCACCCACCACCCACCACACACTTCAAAATCAGAGAAGCAAGCTTATTTGCCCATCCACAAAGCGAGCACAAAATGAGCTGAGACACCACAGCAGAAAGACATACCGCTACATGGCAAAAGTTTCTGGTAACAGAAGCCGGCACATTCCTCCATGTGCCGAATTTGTTGATCTGCTGTGGTGTCTCGGGATTTCAATTGATGCTTACCTCTTCGAGGTAGGTGCATGAATGAAATACATCAGGAAGAGTTGACCGAGAAGAGAACTCAGGTTGGGGTATTGGTATGTATTCCTTTCCTTTGTTTCTTTTTCTTTTCCTGTTTCTGAAATGGATGTTTGGATGAATATCCAACATCTGTCCATGGTACTGTATAGATGTTGACTATGATTTTACAGAACTCTCACCTATTTGGTGATGTCTTCCGATTTCGCATTCCATTCAAGCCTCCTTACTGCATGGTGTGTGCCTCTGTACCATACTCCGGTGCAGAGACACCTATTTTGTTCTTGAATCTTGTTCTGGAGGTATTTATTTTCTCTTTCTATCTCTCTTTCGCCCTCTCCCTCTTCCTCTCCCTCTCTCTCTCTCTCTCTCTCTCTCGCTTTTCCTTCCCATACCTTCCTTCCTTTAATACACTAACCCAACCTCTCAAATCCAGGTAACCACGCCCTCGACATCCCAGGAAAAGACATGCACGGCTGCTCTTCAATTTGCCACCCATCTTCAGACTCCAGTCACTCCACAGAACCAGCAGAAGAAATGCTGTTCTGTGGAGTTGGCTGTCGGTATCAAATTGAAGAGCAGCCGTGCAATGTCCAAAAGATAGAGACAGAGACAGAGCACAACTAGCTACTCTTCAATTTGCCATTTGAAATCTTCACACTCCACAGACTCCCCAGACCCAGCAGAGCAAAACACTGGGGTCTGGGGTCTGGGGAGTGAGTGTGAAGATTTTATATTGAAGAGCAGTCAGCTGTGTATATCTCTTCTTCAATATTCAATATTCATTTTTAATATCCAAAAGACAGAGACAGAGACAGAGATATACACAGCTGGCCGGCTGCTCTTCAATTTTTAATCTAAAATCTTCACACGCCCCAGACCCAGCAGACCCAGCAGAGCAAAACACTGACGTCTGGGGTCTGTGGAGTGTGAAGATTTTAAATTGAAGAGTAGTTAGCTGTGTATATCCCTCCTTCAATTTTCGATATTCGATATCCAAAAGACAGATAGAAACAGCGTAGCCCGAGATACGCACGGCTGCTCTTCAATTTACCATTTGAAATCTTCACACTCCCCACACTCCCCAGATCCAGCAGAGGAAAAACACTGGGGACTGGGGTCCCGGGTCTGTGGAGTGAGTGTGAAGATTTCAAATTGAAGAGCAGCCGGTGCGGTGCGTGCATGTTTTGTGAGGAAGGAGCTTGGGGTTACTAGGGAGGGCTTTTGTTTGTTTTGTATTGTATGGTATTGTATCGTATTGTATTGTATAGATACCTAGAGGAAGGGTGTATAGGTAGATGGAATTCTGTAAGAGTAGAATAGAATGTAATCTTATATTAAGATAATTTCACTTGTTCTTATTCAATGTTGTTCTTTCACCCCATCCACATCCACATCCTCATCTTAACCTTAGTCCTTCCTTACTAACTATTTATTATTTGATGATGATGATGATATTTCACTAGCTATGAGATGAGGCCTATGACTATAACCCTCCAAGTTACCTAGTACCTACCTACCTATTTATACATATAGATACATATAGACATATCTAAAGGCAGTTGCAGGTAAACATATTGTACAGATCACTAGAGTATAGATATAGAGTACAGTACAATACAGTAGATATCTACATACATACATCTCACATTTACTCCGCTACATATTCATTCATTCATTCAATCATTGACTAGCTAGCTAGCTAAAACCTTCTACAATTATGACAATCTAGGACGTCATTAGCGTCAAATATGTCGAGGTATTGATATTGATATTGATATTGATATTGATATGAATACAGCCCACACAATCACCATTCACCACAATATCTACTCGTACAAATTCACTTGTTTTAGTAGAAGGCAAATAACGAAATTTCTTATTATTATTCTTATTGTTACACAAGTACAAACAATCCTTCGTTTGCAAGAATTAATTTCTTTTCTTGTCATCCTAGTACCTACTGTACATGCAATTGTAGTTGACCTTCTTATTCCACCAAGAATAACTCATACAATCAACATCAACATCAACATCAACAAAGCTTTCAACCCCGAAAAAATGGCACCTTCATACGACGGACCACTCACCATCGAGTCCTTGACAGAACTATTCAAATCGTATGGTTTTTTAAACGTGCAGGTATCCGATGGCCGTGATAAGGAACACAAGCGCCGTGTCCTGCGTGGCTTTGGAACGTTACCTGTGGCCGAAGACGAGCAATATATGCGCGCTGATGACGATGCTGAGAAGACTGCCGAGAAGCAAGATAATACAGCTAAGACTTCGGAGGGAATGAATAGTACCTCAGCCGATGATCGAGAGAAGCAGCAATCAGCCGGCATGGGATATGCTGCGGGAATGTCAAAGAGCCAGAAGCGCAGAATGCGTGAAGCTAAGAAGAAGGCTGAGAAGGAAGCTAAGGCTACGGCTACAAATACGGTGCTTGGCGAGACGACTGCGACTACTCAATCAAAGTAGTTGGGGAGTTGTATCTGGTAAGCTAATCAACAGCCTTGACCAACGTTAGATCGTCAGAATAGACCCTAATAGTTGATAGCTGTGGGACAATGTAGAGACTCTTGTACTGCTGTGAAGTGGGGACATGGGGTTAGTGCAAATTCTTAGGGCTTGGGAGTATCAAGTTGTCGATCGGGAACGCGGAGACTCTTTTGGTTGATGTAGATTAAGGGCAACAAACATTGGGATTGCAGTGTGTCAGATGGGACCAAATACGGGAAATTTCTGGAGTGCGCAAAAGGAATCCTTACCTTTCTTGTTGCTCTTCAAATTTTTGTGTACAGACATTTGAATGCCAATGAGGGGCACTTTAACAACACGAGCCCTCTACCAATCTCGGAACCACAAATGATAACGTGAACATATGTGATACCCTCCGCTGAAATACAAGGTGCTACGACGTGCTGATAGTATGACTAAAGTCTGCCCAGCTGGGAAAGAAAACGGTACATGAGGCTCTCGACGTTTATAAGTATTCGCCGAAGGTCATTGACAACGATGGTATTCCCAACACTACCAAAGTTGGTACGCTTCTGAGGAACCTCTGAGAAGAATGGCCGAGGCAAATGGACAAGGAGATATTATTGATCGAAATACGAGAAGAGTTGATGTACTGGAATCAAATATGTGAATTTAATTCGTCATGAAGTACCTTGTGTGATGAAACTCTCCGTTCGTTTTCGGCGAGAGAATTCATGACAATAAGCTGAATATGTTCCGGAATACTTTCCGATAACATACAGGCATATCAAGAAGTATTTCAGACAGCAGAGAAGGAAGGCGAAGTGATAGCAATGTATGTATTCCAAAGTTGCGAATAGAAAGGATGTGTTGGCCCGATTGTAATCTGAACAAAGTATTCAGATATTACTCAAGAAGGGTATATGGGCCAGGATGAAATCCCATCGATGATTTGCAAGTAATTGGTCAAACTTTACATCCTATGAAGTTTAATAGTTAAACTTCACATGCCATGAAACTTCATAGGATGTGATTTCAGTACATCCCGAGGTTGGACAACAATCGCTCAAGCTACCAAAATCATTTGGAAGATCTTGTGTGACCGTTTAGATTTCGTGAAGCCTGATGCATCAATTTGCATACACCATATGGATCTGATGGGAATATCCCCAGGTCTTATCATTTTCTTCTCTCTCATACCAAGAGGAGAATTAGACTTCTGCCAAGACGAGAATACGTACTCACACCGGTATTCTCGTCTGCTCTTCACCTTATCAATGACAATCATCATGTCTTAGCATCTTGCCTCGTGGGAGATGCAAATAGGAAGTTATCATTATGATGATTCGATCGATAACTTTCAGGTGAGATAATTGAAGCTTTGTGATATATGCATGCTGATTTATATATCACTCGAAATCTCAAGCCTCTTGAATCTTTCAAGCCAGCAGATATGTACCCGTGATGGTTAAAAGTATAATATGCAGTCAAATTTTCATTTCTGAGAAGATACTTTCGTATATAAACATGGTGGTGATGATTGCATGTTATTAGTGAGTTGAAGCGAAGCAGTAAAATCCGAAGTAAGGAATGAAAAAGTAGGAAAAGCTCAAAAAGGTATTGAATGCCAAGGAATATTATTTAAGTGGGGTACCACTATCGTCATATGCAAGTTCTAATGAAATGATTGGCTAGAATTATCTAGGTACATGGATAAGACCGATAGAACCCCTGGTTTTTTATCCTCTCATATACTTTATCTCTTTGTTTTGTTTTGTTTTGTTCAGACTTCTTCTTCTTCATCTGTACTCTATCCAGGACCTCTATTAAATTAATCATTATCCCTTTGATATGATGTTGTGTTAATATTACATTTCATCCCATAATCCCATACCCATACCACCCACTGGTCCACCAACACGAACCTCCTGCAAAGCTAAATAAATAGAGGATCCCGAGAATCTTGAAAAGCTCCACCTCTTTTTATACACTAAAATACAGGGAGCTGGGCCCAATTGAATATACTGTCTGTCGTGGACAGTGATCATTGGAAGAAGAATCACTGTAATCAACATTCTAGAGTTTGGAGATGACCTCGAAATCGATTATCGGAAGTCCTCGTTCAAGCTTCACAAGTAATGGCTATACTTCAAAAAGACCTGCCATCTTGGGTCTTGCAAAGATTCTATTCTTGAGCATCTGCCAAATCACTTCAGTATCTGCCGCTCCCATTACAACCTTTCTCGGAATTGCCAGCAAAGAGGACACGCCAAAAGATGCAGAAGATGCGAGTTTATGGTTATATCTATCCGTTGCGGCGGTCTTGGTCTTGCTCGGTGGTGCTTTCGCCGGTTTGACGATTGCGTAAGATTTCAATTGATGATTCTTGTGATGATGATGCCATGCTAATAAAAGTTTTCATCTAGGTTAATGGGACAAGATGGTGTTTATTTACAAGTTATCGCGACTTCCGGAGAAGGAAAAGAACAGAGACATGCACAAAAGGTATATCAATTGTTACAAAAGGGTAAACATTGGGTACTTGTGACCTTGCTACTCAGCAATGTCATCGTTAACGAAACTCTTCCTATTGTACTTGATCGATCGCTTGGCGGAGGATGGCCTGCGGTCCTTGGTAGTACAGTTCTGATCGGTATGTTGCGAGTCTTCCGGGTCAATGGAGCTTATATTGACTTGATTTTAGTTATTTTCGGAGAAGTTATCCCTCAATCGATCTGTGTGCGATATGGTCTTTCCATCGGAGCATTCATGGCACCGCCCGTCCTTGGTCTTATGTGGCTCTTAGCGCCTGTAGCATGGCCGACAGCCAAACTTCTCGACAAATTACTTGGGGAGGATCATGGAACCGTATACAAGAAATCCGGTCTCAAGACTCTCGTCACTCTACACAAAACATTGGGAACAAGTCCTAGTGATCGATTAAACCAAGATGAAGTTACAATTATCAGTGCAGTATTAGATTTGAAGGAGAAGGCAGTCGGAGATATCATGACACCAATGGATGATGTCTTCACCATGAGTGCAGATACCATACTTGACGAAGATACCATGAACGTCATTCTAAGTGCTGGTTATTCACGTATTCCTATCTATGAGCCTGGAAATGAGAAGAACTTTGTTGGTATGCTTCTGGTCAAGATTCTGATCACTTACGACCCGGAAGATTGCAAACATGTTAGTGACTTTGCTTTGGCTACCTTGCCGGAGACTCGACCTGAAACTAGTTGCTTGGATATCGTAAACTTCTTCCAAGAGGGAAAATCCCACATGGTACTTGTTTCGGAATATCCTGGTGAGAACTTTGGTGCTACAGGTGTAGTTACACTGGAAGACGTTATTGAAGAGCTCATTGGAGAGTAAGTAGAGATTATCATTCCCTAGTTGTGCTACTCTAACAAGCTATAGGGAAATTATTGATGAGTCGGATGTTTACATCGATGTCCACAAAGCAATTAGACGAATGGCCCCGGCCCCCAAATCTTCAAGAGTTAAGCCAAATCAAGTCGTTGAACCACCGGCCAATGGTTCCATCCACGCCGCCGAGGACAGTCTTATTGATCTATCTGAAGAACGTCCGGGTAGTTTGCAAGCTGGCAGGAGACGTAATCAAACCGAGGTTAGAAGCGTCAGCCCCGCCAATCATTTCAGTACCAGTCCCAAGACGACTTTCATGCGTAGGGTTTCAACAAGTGATCACGATAGAAATGTTGTTGCCGTCAGAGGTAACATGAATGATATGCGCGAACACTTGAAACATCTAGGTCCATCGAATCTTGCCAGTCGACCCAAAATGACCAAGTACCAATCCGTCAAAATCAAGCCCGGAAATGTCCTTGGTAGCAACAGGACTGATTCAAGAGCCGACTCAATTCCTCATCGTGGATCCATCGTTGAGGAGCCTGGATTCGAGCCATACATGGATAATTCAGGATTCCAAGGTGGCGAAGGAGAAGGTTTACTTCGATCAGCCGGAAAAGACGCAAAAGATGGAGTTCAAGCTTTGCAACAAGGTTACGGCACGGTCGACAATCGCGTTCCTTCAAGCAAGTTCGCCGAATCGGAAACAGAAGCCAACACACCTCAATATGATGGTCCAACCAGTCCACCAGCACAACCACTATCACCTAGTAATAACTTTTCAATCACCAACTTCTTTAACAAGAATAAAAGTACAGATACAATAGGTTCCCTCCCCTCTCCCAAGAGCGGCACTAGTCCTCCAACTCAAAAACTCAAAAAGAAGAGTACGGCTAGAAGTGGGAGTATTACAGAGAACTTGGTAGAAGCGGGTGGCATTAGAAAGATGGTATTAGAGACGAATGCTAGTAGTGGAGAGGATGACAAGGATGGAAGAATACTACATTCGAGTAGCACTGGTAGTGGAAACAAGAGTGGAAATACAGGCGAGAATAAGTTTATGCAATTCTTAAGTAATGCAGGATCGACTGATAGATTGGCGGATGGAAAACGCAAGATTCAAAAGTCGAGTCAGACGGATAACACGGCTGAAGATGGTGCCAGCGGTTCAGGTGCTGGTGGTTCGAAAAATAAAAAGAAGAGTAAGAAGAAGAGTAAGAAGAAGAATGGTGGAAAGTAAAGCGGGGACGGGTCACATGTATATTATGCGAGTGCTTTTTGGTGAAATGAAGGGGGTGAAAAGGAAATTGCTTTTTGATTGTGCTGAGAGAGGAGAGAAGAGAGAGATGAAGAGTATTAATGATATCGATAACTCATGCGAAATGAAGGTTAGAAAAGGGGAAGAGGGGTGATGAGGAATCTTGTATTTATGTATGTATATAAAAGTTACTCAGTATATCAAATGATGTGATTGCTGGCGATCGCTATACTTGAATGAAATTGTTGGTATTGGTATTGGTATTGGTATCGTTTTTGTTTTTGTTATTGCTATTGATATTGATATTGATATTGATATTGATTTCGATGAGTGTAGGTGTAGGTATAGGTATGAGTGTAGGTGTAAATCCCGGCCTACGAGTAGATAGATACATGTATACTCTACTCGAGTATTTCCAACGTGGAATGAATGTCTTTGTACATAATAATAATAATATCAATATCGCCATGTTCGCGGGATCCCTCCCTCGCCTAGAATTTATTCTATATTAGATTACTCGAGTACGAGTATATAGGTAAGCTCTTTATATAAGTATTTGTTATTTATTTATTATGTTATATGTTATATGTTATATGTTATATGTTATATGTTATATATTATATACGAGCTATTCGAGTAGAAAGAAGTAGAGAAGTATAGTTAGGTGAGGTGAGGTGAGGGGAAATTGCTTGGTTTAGCAGATGGGAGATGGGAGATGGGAGATGGGAGATGGGAGATGGGAGATGGGAGATGGAAGGGAAGGGATGGGAAGGGATGGGAAGGGATGGGATGGGAAGAGATGGGATGGTTTTGAGGCTGAGGTTGAGGTTGTAGGAGTAGGAGTAGGAATATGAGTAGGATTCTTCTGTGTACTGGACTGGACTGGACTGGACTGGACTGGGTGGTTGGGATTATGGGTTGGGATTATGGGAGTATGGGTTGGGATTATGAGATGGGATATGGGATGGATGTAATGTAATGTGTCTTGTGGAGAGTTTGTGATGATATTAAAGGATGAATGAGTACTCGTAAAGTTTGGGTTTTATTTGATGATTTGCATATTGATAGAGGGGATATTGATAGAATAGGTAGACTATAGATTTCTCAGAGTAGAGAGGGGGCTTATACTCAGTAGAAATACCAGTATGTTTTAGTTCTAGTAATGGTACGAGATAAATCGGGCTTCACTTTATAAATTAGTACCGGTACTTCTTTGATCTACTCGTAGAGGATCTATGTGTAAAGTAACTTGTAAGACATATTGAAGGTTCGGGGCGGAAGTAGTCAGTCTATAGAAAATTACGAGTATAAGGCATCCACACGAGTACTGAATCATCCCATCAAACTTGAGTCAAACTGTGGTTTGTTTCTTTCTTTCGACTTCGACTTCTCTATCAAACAAACCCTTGTACTGTAAGACTCTCACGTGGGCTTTACTATAGGTTTGGCCATTGTTTATTTTACATAATTATCTACTCGTACTGTACTGTATATTGTGAATACACTGGCAGTACACATTCTACTTCTCTAATCAGGTTCAGGTAAGTCTTACCAAGTGATTAATTACTCAACGCCATGAATTCCATTGCGCTCTCCTCTCGGATGGGAAAAATTATATATATATAAAAATACCAATTTCTTATATTTGTGTCTAAAAAGGTAAATCTTATAAAACAATAAATAGATAGATTCGCAAAGAATCAATTAATTTCTTGAATATTGACATTGAATATTAGACAAGATATAAATATAAAACTTGAAGGATCGATGCTGCACATACAGCAGGACCAAATATCTCAATCAAGCCTTGGAAAGTCATGAACATAAGATAAGGTTGGGAGGCAGGTCTGGGCTGAAAGGTTGCCGCGAGTAAAGATGGATTCATCAATATAATAAAATAGCTTTAGATTTCACAGACATAGTGTCCAATTGTGCGGACGGTGGTTTCAAGATAAGAGACTACAGTCTACATATAGTATATGGAATCCAAGGGGGTTCCGGAAGGGGAGGCTTCGCATAATACTAGAAAGTGTATTGTATGTCTACAGTACACTTAAAAATATAATTAGTATACTCAAGTAAAGGTTGATCAACTACAGTAGTAATCAAAATAATTAGCGGAATAAATGAGAAATTGTCTGAAATCAGGGGGTTGTGTATAGGAAAAAGTGTCTTTTGAGATAAAGAGCCAATTGCGAGCTGGAAACTTAGAAAGGAGCTGAGGAGTATTAGCATAGCATTAGTATTAGAATTAGTATAGAACAAAAAACAAAAAAATACTTCCTATTTTTCTTAAAACGCAAAGATTCAGAAATTACTCAATTTACTCAAGTCTTATATTGCATTACTATGGTATAGCAATCGGTTCGTAGGTATGGTTCTGGATGTTCTACTTTGTTTGAGAGTGGCATACTGTAAATGGAGATGGAGATGAAGTTTAGGTTCATGGATTCTGTTTTGAGACGGAGGGGCGAGAAGAAGTAATGAGATAGCTCAGATGGACGGTAGATGAGATGAGGTGAGATGGGAGAAACTAGGACTTTGATTTTCCAAAGCAACCTATACTATTCCACACAAAAACCCACGCCAGAAATCCAAATACATTTCCTTCACTCCACTCCATTCCATTCCATCACTCCCCTACAACCCAAACTTCACCTTAAACCTCAAAATTGCATCCGCAATCTCCTCCACATTAGTCTCCAACGCAAAATGTCCCGCATCCAAATACTCCACCACCAAACTCTTACAATCCCTCCTAAACCCCTCCGCCCCCGCCTTTACAAAAATCTCATCATTTTCCCCCCAGACTGCCAGGACCGGCACATCGGAATCCCTAAAAAACTTCTGAAAATCCGGATAAAGTTCTATATTCGTGCGATAATCGTAGAAAAGATCTAGTTGAATATCGGTATTGCCTGGCCGAGAAAGAAGTGCATAGTCTAGGGTATAGGATTCGGGGGCGATTTTGTGGAGATTGGATGCAGGGGTACCGGTCACGTATTGCCATTTGGTGAAGTCGAGGGAGATGACGGATTGGAGGGATGTGCGGGAGGCGGCGAGTTCGGAGGGGGTGCTTGTGGCCCACATGGCTTCGAGGGGGGCCCAGAAACCGCCTAGTCCTTCGGTATATGCGTTGCCATTCTGGGAGATGATGGATTGGATGGCGTTTGGATGACGAAGTGCGAGGCGTAGTCCGACGGGACCCCCGTAGTTGAAGAGGTAGATGGAGTATTTTTGAACTTTGAGTTCGTCCAAGAATGACTCGATGGATGTGGTTAGAGCGTCGAATGTATATTTGTAGTTTCGAGCGTCGGGAACTTCGGTAAAGCCGAATCCAGGGAGGTCAGGGGCTAGGATGTGATATTTCTCGGAGAGAAGGGGAATGAGATTGCGGTATTGATGGGAAGAGCTAGGAAAGCCGTGGAGGAGAAGAAGTGTAGGTGCATCGGATGGCCCGGCCTCTCGATAAAATATATCGACGCCATCGGCTTTGATTGTTTTTAGTTGAATGGCAGACATTGAGGAGGATTTTCGGGTGATTAATGATAAGAGATGAAGGTCGATGAGGTGGCTCATGGTCTCACCATATACTCGAGTATATATATACACATCTAATTCAAGAGTGGTGGGGTATAAGTCCGCAATCCATGTATTAACTACATATATATATTGGCTAGCGTTGGTCAGATCTGAAAACGGCCACGGACTTGCTTTCTTGTGTCTTTGTCATCCGCTTACAGGATAGAGATGACTGCCCTTCTAATTGGTTGAAAATTGAACAAGGGGAAGAACACAAGAGCATCCTTGATCACACTTCTCCGGTGAACTCAGGTCTTTCATTCTTCCTTCCCATGACACTTGATCAATGAAAAGGCTTAAGTTTTCGCATGTCGACATCAAGTCCGATATGTTGCGAGCTTGATGATTGGATGAGAATAGCTCGAATCCCGAATACTATCAAGAGCCTGCATATCATCAATTCATTGAACAACAAAGGAATGATTTCCATTTCAATTGAAACAATTAACTATATATGTTTCAGTTTGGTTTGGAAAGCAAACAATAAACTGCTGCTCAGCTTCTAAGTCCGAATAGTGCCAGAAACCTCTTTCGAAAAGCCATGCTTCATGCAGGGCCAAGATAACCGCTGACTCTACACGGCAAGCCGCCCTTCATGGGTAAAGTAAGACTATTCTTACTGATTCTCTCTTTGTTGTCTATCGGCGTGAAGTTGAACTGTTCCACTAACAATGCAATGACTTGAGCAGCCACTACTTCTGCCATCTTCTTTCCCAAGCAGGTGCGAGGTCCTCCATTGAATACTGGGTACTCAAAAGCCGTCTTTGAAATCAGAACGCCATCTTCTAGCCATCTCTCGGGTTTGAAATCATCAGCATCCTCACCCCAAGTAAATTTTGATCGGTTCATTGCCCATGGACACCAAACAAGTACAGCATTCTTAGGAAGGAATGTTCCATCGGGTAATGTGTTTGCTTGCTCGCATTGCTTAATTTCAAACGGCACCGGTGGGTAAAGTCTCAAGGATTCATAGAAGACTGCCATGATATATGGCACGAGTGTGGGTGTGGGTAATGCGTACACTCCGTGCCGGTCTTTACGATCCAGAGAGGCTAATTCTAGTCGTACTTTATCCACCGCTGCTGGGTTACGCATGAGAAGATAGAAAGCCCAAGTTAGTGCTTGCGCGGTAGTATCACGACCTAGAAATACTCAGCTAGGGAATCGACTTTCACCGGTTTGATGTGATGCATACCTGCTGATAGATAATTCAGAGCTGCGTCTGCTACCATTTGATGATCATCAATTGAATCCAATAAAGAGTTAATTAAACTGCCAGAGATAGCCTCCAAAGAGCTTGACTTGGTGCATTTTTTATCTTGCTCTTGTCGAGCCTTGACGGCATTCGATACAATTTCAGTACCAAACGCTTTAACCTTTGCTATTGATGATCTAAAACGACCACCAAATACCATTTCAGTGATCGGCCAAAGAGGGTTTTGAAACCTCTCACAAGTAGCCCCAGATGCGTAGTCGAAAGCTAAAGAGAACGGATCGCCGGAACTCATGTCCATCTGTAAAAAGTCAGTGGGGATTTCACTACCAGAAATCAAGAATTAATATCCTTACATCATATGCCATCCGGCCCATGAGCTTTGTGGTCAATTCATGAAAAACAGCCTCCAGATCGATGATATCGCCGTCTCTCGCAAATGTAAGCTGGTACAAAGTCTCACCGAGATACTCTGGGAGTGCAACATCGGTAAGAACTTTCAGATTTGCAACATTCAAGAAATTCAAACCAGCTTTTCGCTGCACCTTCCATAAATCTCCATCGGCATTGATGATGCCATTCCCTAGCACTCTTAGAATCTCCACACAGAGGAAGATATAGCAACAGAATTCTCACCAAACAAATCCCAGGACCTCCTCTTAAAGAAGTCCCCTTTTGCAAAGATTCCTTCATTCTTCATAACATACTCGAGATTTTTTGGATCATTAATCACCACACCAGGTGGTAACGACGGGACTGAAATCTCAAATGTCTCGAAACCAAATATCCGTTCGCACTTGACAAACCATGAGAATAGCTTATGACGAGCTTGAAGGAAGAGAATACCATTTCCAACTAGCGGTAATGTATTTGGTGGCCGTCTGGATGGATGGTTAGTTAAGTACAAGCTTGTTGTATCTTAGTATAGAAAAAGGACGTTTTGTATATGTCCAAGATAGTATAAAGTGCCAAGAAGAACAAATGAATCTACTCTTCTCTTAGACATGATCTCAAGGCCATTGACAATGAAGAGAATCCAGTGAGCTTCCCGGAAGACACGGAACTCGTGATTTCGTGGCATATTCGTGTTTCACTCACCTCAAAGCTTTACCATCCCTCTTGATCTCCGAACCTCTGAACAAAGGACTCGACAAACAAATCCCGATTACAATCGATACAAATATCAGGATATACATCTTATCGCCTTCGACGTCGAACAAAGAATCAAATTCATGAGAAATGTGGTGATGCAATATGTAGGTAAGATTACAAGAAATGGAATGAAAGAAGGAAGCAGGACCCGATGATGCTTTGTGCTAGCGTCACTAGGATAAAGCTTCGAGTTTCATGATTTGGAGACGACATGTTTTGCGATAACACCACATCTTTCATTCAATTGGAGATACATTTGTATAATTGAAGATACGAAAAACAAGAAAAGAAAAAGAAGAAAAGGAAAATGGTTCTTATCTGTCCCCGAATCCATTTCTTTGAGATCAATGATCAATCCTGGTTCGTTTGCCCTTGCAGCTCAAAACAAGCTCTCCGAGCTCTCCAACCTCCCCATATCCTCCCCATATCCTCCCCATTACCCCATTGGCCCTCCTCTCCTAACTAACATCCCCCCTCACCCAGGTTCCCCCAATACCTCCGCCTTAAAGTGCAATCCTGCCTAACCCTCTGCTGGACCTTCCGCGTCCCCCTCATCCAGCCCTCCTCTCCCGCCCAATTAGTCGCTTCCACCCTCTCCCGCACTCTCTCCAACAATGTCACCTCCTACACCTATGTAGATTTCTGTGCTGGGGCCGGCGGGCCCACCCCGTACATTGAAATACACATGAATGCGCAATTGAACACACCCTTCTCCGGCTCATCATTCACCCCCTCAACCTCTTCATCGCTCGCTCCCCACGAAGCCTCATATGTTGAAGTTGCTGCCACGCCAATTGATAAAACATATGGTCTAATGCCACGGTCGCCGCGTCCGGTTAATGGAGATCATGGGGGTGATGGAAAGGTTCAGTTCGTGTTGACAGATTTACATCCGCATATTCCTGATTGGACGGAAGCTTCCAAACGCAGCGAGAATCTCTCTTTTGTAGCTGAGTCTGTCGATGCGGCGAATGCCCCGAGAGATTTATTGGAGAATGTTGGTGGGGGAGAGAGAAAGGTGTTTAGGCTGTATAATTTAGCCTTTCATCATTTTGGGGATGAATTGGGTGGAGATATCCTGAGAAATACAGTTGAGACTGCTGATGGGTTTGGGTATGTTTTTCCCATTCTTCTTTCTCATCTCTTCTTTATTCTTATTTCGCAAACCAAAACTAACGCAACCCCCTTCGAACAGAATTTTTGAACTCCAAGAACGCACCCTCTCCTCCATAATAACCATGTTCGCCATGGGCATAATGATAATGGGCATAACACCCTTCTATTTCTGGCGTTCACCGGGTCATCTATTTTTCACATACATTATACCGATTATCCCATTTGTATTAGTTTTCGACGGGATAATCAGCTCGTTGCGCACGAGGAGTGCGGAGGAAGTGGAGGCGTTGATGAAGAAGAGTGGAGGAGATATAAATGGCTGGAAGGTGTTAAGTGGGAGGGAGAGACATACTTGGCCTACGGGGTATATGACTTGGGTTATGGGGGTTAAGGAATAGGGGGGTGTGGGTGTTTACAACTCCAAGGTTTCGGGTTTTCGAGTTGTGTTTTGATGCATGATAGGCGGAGAGGACGGAATATCTCAGCGAGGTTCCATTTGTCTGGAAGTCCTTACCTCAAAACGGACGAGACATTGAAAGTCAGCGCTAGAATCAATGGATTCCATTCAGTTGAGCTGAGGAATCTAGTAGTTTTGTACGTAAGTGGATTGTGACATCAGAAGGGTAATATGGTTAGATAAAAGTAATGAATGTATTATTTGCTTGTCCATATATATTATGCTACTCTGGTATAAATCCACCACCCATGTCATCGTCATAATCATCATCTGTATATGTATCGCTCAACTCACTTTCCTCACTCTCCATAATCTCATCGTCTTTCATAAACCCGCCTTCTTCCTCCACAACCGCATCCTCATCCTCTCTGGCGAATCCACCCTCTTCCGCTTCCACTTCCCCTTCGCCCTCATCCTCAACATGATCCGCGCCCTCTTCACTCATCTCCACTTCTTTCTCCTCCTCTCCGCCCCCTTCCCCTTCAACAATATAACCATCCACCGTCTCCCTAACCCTCAACCTCACCAACCACCTCCTCCACATCCCCACAAGCCTTTCACTCCTCTCCTCCTCCACCTCCCTCTCCCTCTCCTCCCTTACCCCCTCCACAACCGCCTCAACTGCCTCCCCATACTCCCTCGCTACCACCACCCCCCTAAGAACCGCCGTCCCATTCCTACCCCTAAACTCAAACCCCGTCAACGCAGCCGCAAAATCTATCCCCAGTAATTTCGCCGCATACATCGATTCTGGCGCTAGAATATGGATGCCGCCTTTGGGGATCATCGATGGAACGTATATATCTATATTACCGAACGAGTTTTTAGGAACTCGACCATTGACGATGGGAGGTGGGATAAAGAATTCGGTTTGAGATTCCGTGTAGAGGTTTGTGCCTGCTCTTTCTTCTCTTTCTTCTTCATCGGCATAATCGTCAATCTTTCTTGTGTTCCGAGAGGGAACGACTTTGGCAGGCTGCTCGCCCATTTTCAGTTCTCGTCCAAGTCGATACCATGCATCTGCGCCTTTGCACACCCTTACATCTTTCCGCCGATATACATTTTCTAATTTCTTCGTGCTCGCAGGACCCGCGCTTGCATTCCCCGTGGCGACTTTCCCGCTTTCTCTTTCCGCAACAATAACTTCATTCCTACGTAAATGACGCTCAAGTGCGTAAACCGGATGGTCTTTAAAATCCTGCACATTCTTTGGCATTGGTTCTCTCGCTTCAAGCGCTGCTAACTCCCCATCTTCGATTTGTTCCACGTCCGTCTTCCAGCCACGGGAGTAATGGCGTAGGACTTTGCTCCACCATTTTTGTCCCCCAGACACTGATTCGACGCGTTGCTTGCGGGTTTTGGAATTGGGAGCTTTGGCATAACGACGAGTTACGTCACGGGCGGAGGAATCGGAGGAGAATGCTATAGTGTAGGAGAGGGCATTTTCTTTATCTGTGAGAGGTGGTTCAAAGGAGCGAGGTTTGGAAACGGTTTCGGTTACGAGAGGGTCGACGGAAACCCATTTCTGGTGCGCTGAGTCGAGGACTTCGAGCCAGAAGATGGGGAAGGGGGATTCGCGGATGGGCTTTGCTTTGGGAGGTGGTGGTGGTAGTGGCGCAGGGGTGATGGCGGGGAGGTGATAAGCGGAGGCTCCGGGATGTCCGAGACGGCTGCGGGGATTGGAGAGGAGGGTTGAGGTGCTGGAACTGGGTGGAGGGACGGTTGGAGGTTGAGTAATTGATTTGGTTTTGGGTTTCGGGGGTTTGGGCATAGATAGTCCGCCGGTGGTAAAGGATAGAGGTTGGAGAGAGCAAACTAGACGGGTTTCAATATCTGCGCTTCTCAATAATGCACAGAATAGCTGTGCTCCTACATCTCTAGACCCTTTTAGCTCCGTTGCCGCCTTCCTAAAATCCGTTTTTTCATATGAAGCATCTGCATCCTCAGGTAATTTGTACTACACGTCTTGCTGTCAGAAGTAATTTCATCTTTGAATAGAAGAAATCTTACGTTTTTGATATCTTCCTCGTCATCCGCCCACAGCGCTCTCCTCATTCCCCTTTTCGTAATCTGAAATTTCGTTCTCCACATAACAGCCGCCATCTCCAAGCCCCTCTTCAACGAATTCGCCTGGCTAAACTGCGACAAATCCTCCCTCGGTCTCAAAAATGACAACATCTTCTTATTCAAAAGTGGTCTGAGCGAATCCTGAACAACGGAATCGTTACACCATTCATTTCTCCTATCAACATGTGATAGTAAACATAAGAGATGTAATTTGTGGGTCTCCAATCGGAGTAATTTATCCCCTTGAGTAAGAGCTTTACGTCTAGGGGTGGTGACTTGACGTTGAGGCACTGGTCTCGTGAGGGTCAATTCTAGATCGCCTGGGGGTTCATCATCTTTCGTGTTAAAGTTGATGTTATCCCAGTCGATTTCGATATCTGCGTCGCTTCCCGACGACTTTTCATCAGAGTCTCTATATGCCGTTTGTTGAAGTCTGCTATCCTCATCTGAGCTCTCACCTTCGAGACTCTTTGCTGCCGTGATAACATCCTCAAATTCCATATCTTCGTCTTCGTCATGTGACTTTGCCACAGAAGGTTTGGGCATCCCGGCTTCTAATCCAGTAACTGCAGCACCTCGAAGACCAACTCTTCGCCTCTTCAAAGGTCTCTCGAGGACTTCCAACTGGTCAGGTATGGCTTCTGCCAGCATATCCCGATATACATCTGGGACAACATTCTGACTCGGCGCTTTTCCTTTCCCCTTCGGTCTTCCCCTGGTTTTCGGAGGCATTTTAGTTCTTAAACTTTCGTGGTCCGGATTCCGGTAAATCTCTCAGGACTCGGTCTCGTAGTTCGGTCGAAGTTTCGCTAACTCATCTTCTGTGAAAGGACGACTCGAGAAGGAGTCGGTGATATCTTAATAAATGTCGTCGTGATCCCCCATTAAAGTTGTTGTTGGCCGGATAATTGATGGTAGGAAGGGCAGTTTGTATAAAGAAATTTTCATTTAAAAAGTCATTAAACTGACGAACCGTACATATAATCTAGTCTTAGAACAGTACATGGACTTATTGATTTTCGAGAAAGAAAAAGCCTTTGCGATTTACAGTACGACGGCGACTATTCACTTTTGCGGGGAAACTTGAATATTGATTAATAAGCGCTCAGCGAAGAGGCGGTGAGGTGCGTGCATATCAAGTACCACAGTAGTAATTAATAAACCCGCACCCATCATCATCATTTGTGAACTACTCGTAATGAAATATGATAAATACACACCTAATGAAATTTGCTACACAGCCATTTAGTTTTTCATTTCCGAAGCTCACCGGGACCTCACTGGGACCTGAACTACTTCCTCGGGAACCAGAACATCGATCCACAGTATTGCCTTCCCCCTTCGTTCATATTTTTTCAATATTTGTAAGTCCTTTCCACTATGGGCATGAGTATCTACATAATCATGATCAAGAACACACCTCAACATGTATGTACTATCCAATAGCCACCTCCGGCACCCCGTTCCAAATACTAAGCGACTCACCCTAGTAAACTCCAAGTATGCCTCATGGATCACCGGCTTGGCTGTCTTCTGAGAATCCGGTAAACCCACATACACGCACTCGTTATGACCCGCAGATCTTGGGCATTACTGAAGCTAAAAGCTCTCATTGTGTCCAATACTCTAGAATGCTTGAATTAGATATTCCTACTCAGCTCGTCCAAGATATCTTGCTTGAGGCTGTACTGTAGTCGCTCGCTCAATCAAAAGAGCTTTAGCACTCAGGCTACTAGTATACAGTAAGAGTTGCGGAGATGATGAAGGTGCTGCTAGCATCAACTTTTGATATGGAACACTGGAGGCCAACTATATTATCTCATGCACACGGCAAGGGCCTCGAATCCTTAATTGGGCTGCCAGAATTAGAATGTCTAAACAACCAATTGTGAAGAAAGCAATGTATATATTCCGAATAATTTGGTCACATAAAAATGATCTAATAGATCAATTGAAGCTTTGCGAACATGGCACAACTAAACGGAACCACGTACTTCACAACTTGCTTTCGTCGTTACTATTCTCTCTCTTCAACGTATGCGCGTAATGCCAGTCCTCCCCTCCCATGTCCATGCGCACCTTATACGCTGCTTCCGCATCCTCCAATATCTGCATATCCACCTCTACAACGTTCATTCCCTCCTCTCGCCCCATCTTACCCAGAGCTCCTTGAAACGGCACTGTAACTTGACTGATGCCCAAAAATCCAGAATCTTCCTTGCCCTTTCCTTTCGGTGCTCCAGCATTGCAGAATACAATTCCGCACGTATTCTCAAATGCTCTGGATACTAACGTAGATTGAACAAACAATTCTTCGGAAAGCGGATTACGTGACAATCCGGCGGGTGTACAGTCGCTAAGAGTCCAGAATGTGGGAATGATGATGAGTTTTGCGCCTTGAGAGACGAGCTCGCGGAACGCTTCGGGGAATGCGGCGTCCCAGCATATAAGCATGCCCACTTTACCAAAAGAAGTTTCAAAACTAGTGTGTGGGTCATGAGTTGATGACGTTAGGTGTGGGCGCTCGGGATGCCAGAGATTCTTTTTGGTGTAGGAAGAAAGGATTTTCCCTTCCGGAGAAATGAAGTGAGCCGTATTGTGGAGTAATGACGACTCGGGGTGGACAGTACAGATAGTTCCTGGAACGATAGATATTTTGAGTTCGGCGGCAAGAGATTGATATCCGGAGAGGTATTTGTTTGTAACATCGTGGTGACACAGTGAAAGGAATTCAGGTGCATCCGGAACCCATGAAGTGAGGTGGTATTCAGGAAGAACCGCAAGGTCACAACCTTGGGAAGCAGCAGCTCTAATAAATGCTACGGCTTTTTCATAATTGTACTTAACAGCTAGAGGCTGGTAGAAAATTATGAGCTTAAATGCTTGGTAAATTTCAGGGGACCTTACGGATCACATATTGTGAACATCATGAGGATCGGATATGTGTCGGAAAAGGGTACATAGAGAGAGAGAGAGAGATGTTGCTTTTAGTAACCGAGATTATACTTGATTATGTGTGATAATGATAAATTAAGACAACACTACCACACAGCAAAAGACACAGGGGCTAGCATGTAGCTTAAGTATACGAGTATGGCAAACGCAGAAACTTCTGCTGACGATTCCTGAAGAATATCACCACGGCGAGTAATCTACAACTACCAGATCTCCTCTGAACTAGTACATAAGAGGAAATGCCAACACAAACCTTTGGACAAAGCTGCACTAAGGCAATTTTGTATATTGATGCCATTGTTCCCTCTGTTTGAGGCTTGCAAATCTCTAACTTTCTTATCAGTATTTGCTGAACGATTGCGGGCTCGACACGAAGAACCGCGGAAATTGATGCTTACATCTGAATCTTTCCGTTCGTGTTTTTGCTTGTCAGACTCTCAATTCGTTATGAAAAGTTGTTGTTGTTGAAGCTATCAAGCTAAAGCAACAGGTGGGCCGAACATGGGGTGAGGAGGCGGGATGAGGCTAAGCGGGAGCTAGCGGAAACGCTTTGCTTGATTGGCTCTAGCGCAATATCAGAATTCAAGCATACCTAGTAACTGAACGAGCCCTCATGAATTGCATCAACTCTCTCAATGGCTGAAAAGTTATCATGCTTTCAGATACATATGAGGATGGCAGGAAACGACTGTTCCATCAACATTGGGCTTTTCTTCTGAATCTTCTGGTGCTTTTCGTCCTGTCGTTGTAGTTGATTGGCTGCCTGGTGAGCTCCATGTCGTTCAAGGTAACATGGCATGGATTAATTGCGCAGCCCGCCAGCCGTATCGATGTAACGGTACTTGTCATCAATGTCTGTAGCTGAATTGTATTATCAGAGAGGCAACAACTAACGTCTTTTACTGCGTCTACACTTGCCCATGATGATGAATCCATTAGACGCATTGTCACTGGCAGGAACAATCATTCAATTCGTAGATTTTAGCTTGAAGGTTCTGGCTGGTACCAATGAGCTCTACAAATCTGGCGCTGAGGCGTTGACCGTTCATCGGCAATTGAGCCTTGTGGCCGAGGACCTATCTAAACTGTCCAAGAGACTCTCGAATTCTTACTCGGACTTCTCTGAGAAGAGGCTTCTTTCTACACCCGCGGATGACTCGTTCATGTGTATTTGCAAAGCTGCGGCGGAAGTGTCTACTGAGCTTAACACCAAGCTTAACAACCTGAAAGTAACAGCTATTGGCCGGCGTAGAAAATGGCAAACCCTCAAGCAAGCATTGAAGTCAGTATGGTCCGAGAAGGAGTTGAAGGCTTTGATGGATCGTTTGGCTCTGTTAAAAGATTCCATACAGATGCATATCGCTGTAGATCTTCGGTATGTCATTGAGAAGTCCTTCCGTCATCAGACAATAACGTTCTTAAGTGAGCAGCTTGACATCGTAGCCACGAGTCAGGCAAGCCGTTTCGACAATCTCGATTCCCGTACGCAAAATATTGTTACTGCTCTTCTCGAGCATCATGGTGAAGTCAGCAGAAGCATTCAAGATCAGACTACGGCAATCACTCAGTTGCTTGGGAGAATGGAACTTTCAGCTGAGAAGCATATATTTCCTCCGAGTATTGTGCGCGAGGCCGACAAAATTGAGGACACCCAGTAAGATAAACCAGTCCTTCATTTCGCACACTCTGAGGTCCAATTCCATATGAACGTTTAATTCTGCAAGGATGTTTCATCTTCCACATCATTCTCATCTCCTTATAATGCTTCGATACCTCCTTTCTATTTGGTCGTTTTCTTTGTGGTTGTCAATTACTTACTTATCGATATGGAGAAACCGAGTTTCGATTACTACTGGAGGGCAAAAATTTCAGGAGGTGATACACAACTTTGAATGGCAAGAAAAAGCGATCCGCTTGCAGGTTGCTCAAGATCTTATTCAAACCCTAGAATCTTCAACATTAAAAGAACGAGAAAAAACTATCGAAGACGTGTATCGAGGGACCTTCGAGTGGTTGTTGGATGACACACATGGCTCTACAACTTGGTCCAGCTTTGTCAACTGGTTGCGACATGATTCTGGTCTATATTGGATCAACGGAAAAGCCGGTTCGGGGAAATCAACACTGATGAGGTTCATTTGCAGTCACAATATCACGAATGAGCTTTTGAAGCAATGGTCGGCTCCGCTGCCCCTGGTTACCGCCAAGTTTTACTTTTGGAATAGCGGTACTCTTGAGCAGAGATCACAAAGTGGTCTACTTCGGGCGATTCTTGCACAGATCCTTGGAAATTTGCCCTATCTCCTCCCTGTCTGCTTCCCAAGAAGGTGGGCTAAGATTTACACTGATGTAGTGAAGCCCTTCTCTGAAAAACATCACAATACTCATTCGATGGAGGTGGAACCTTGGAGTTTAAGCGAGCTCGAGGTTGCAATGCGCACCCTCTTGAGCCAAGACGTGCAGAACTTTAAGTTTTGTTTGTTCGTTGATGGTCTTGATGAATATGAGGGGCAATCTTCAGTTATCGCAGAATATTTTAGTGGGCTTGCACGAGTGCCCTGGTTGAAGATCTGCCTCTCCAGCCGCCCGCTACTTGCGTTCGATGATGCTTTTCAATCATGGCCAACATTGCGTTTGCAAGACCTGACACAACCTGATATAAATCATTATGTCAAATCGACTCTTGAAGAGAATCCAAACTATAAACGTTTGTGCGTGGAGCAGCCTATCCAAGGGCCAACTTTAATTGAAACAATTACATCACGAGCAGATGGAGTATTCTTGTGGGTTAAACTCGTCGTACGAGATGTCATAAGAGGCCTAGCCAATAGGGACAATCTGCAAGATCTACAGGAACGTGTTGGAATTGTTCCTCTAGATCTGGAAAACTTATTTTCCTCGATGCTTGACAACGTTGACCCATTTTATAGTAAGAAAGCTGCATTGGTTTTTCTTATTGTTCGAGCGGCAAACTTATATGGGGAGAGTGCCAAATTACTATACACCTTGAGCCTTTCCTTTGCTCTTGACTATGGTGCTACTCGAGCCGACGAAATCAAGTTTGACTTACAGGATCTGGAAGCGAGAAACACGAAAATGCGCGATCTTCTCAAAGTGCAGTGTGCAGGTTTACTCGAGACTGGGCAGAGAGACTCTCCTGGCTTTGGGTGCCTTGGATTTCGGGTCCTGTACCTCCACCGTAGCGTCAGAGAATACTTGGAACGCCCGGACGTAGGTCAAAGATTCTTGAAGCAAGTTTCAGGAACGGACTTCGAACCATACACTGCGCTTGTATATTCATATGTGAAAGTACTTGAGATCTCCGAAGTTCGAAAAAGGAGATCATTGTTTGTTCGTACCTTTATGGCAACAGTCCTTCATTACGCTCATAAGGCTGACATTGCGCTATCGGATGCTTACATCGAATCATTAGATACACTTGCAACATTGACACACAAAACAAGGTTTAAAAGAGACCACTTTTGGAAACCAACGAAGTTCTCTTCTTTCCTTCATATCGCAGTCGCGTGGGATCTTTATCTGTACGTCAAATTGAAGTTGAATCAACTCTCTCTGAAAGAAAAAGGCTCCGCTATTCACGTTCTCTTATCATATGCCCTTGCAGCATCAGATGGGAAAGATTTCGAGGAGTGGAAAATACAGAAAGGCCCAACCTATGTTCGAAATCGTGTCCCTCCTAGTCCTCGCATGGTGGGATTACTCTTGGCACACGGAGCCCAACCCAACAAAAAGTTGGAACGCCTTCTAATTAATGGCAAGAATACCGCATTGGAGACCGCATTTAAGACAGCCATTCGTAACATCTTCGCAATCTTCCCGTTAGAAACCGCAGGAAAAGACCCCGACAATCAATATTCAGACAAGGAAAAATCGTTGGTGTCGAATTATTTGGAAATTGTTAAAGTCCTGCTGGAAAATGGCGCGGATGCAAATACATGCATCAACTACCAAGGAAGAACGATTATGTCGAGGAAATTGTTGACTGAGCAAATGAGGAAGCATTGGAGAAGCAAAGAATTGATTGTGGATGAAATGTTTGCGAAGAAAGGTGGTAGATTGGAACTTTCGAGGGTTAAGAAATTGACGATAACCATGACTGCTTTTATTTGAGTTGGCTGACACATTATCACTTATAATGGATTATTTACAATTTCTTTATTCGGTTTTAACAACAACCAATACCAGCAATTCTACCTGCTGCAACAGCTTCTTTTGGAAATTCTGTATATGATTATTATCCCGATACTAAAAAAAGAGAATGTATATGTGTACCTTAATTACTAGCCCAAACGAGATGATATCCAATAAATCTAATACCACTACTACCGTATTTTCAGCGTCTCCATAACCGCCCCACTTCCTCCCCAAAAGAACAAACCATAAAACCCGCCAATAACCATATACAAAACGTGACGGAATGAAAAATAAAAAATACCAAAAGATTGAATATGCCAAGGAGTAAAGCAAGAGTTGCGCCGTTGAATCCAAACCAGACGAACTGAGTTCTTATAACAGAGGCCGTGAGCTCTGCCAGCAAGTGCTGTTACCACTGCAGCAAATGGGCTTTATGTGTTATGTTGGGGGATATCACTTATTTTTGGTTTTAACAGGTTGGGTTATTGTGGGCGGTGAGGAGGGTTTGAACTTTGATAGGGTGTGGTATGGTTGGTAGGTTTGATGGGGTGGTGTGTGGGCAGTATACAAGTTAACTGGTTGGCATGGTTAGTGATTTCAAGATAAAGTATTTGGTTTGGTTGGAATGGTTTATATTTTGATTTGGACTTCGTAGAGATGTATAGAATTAATTTAATGTGATGTGATGTTCTTTATGCTCAGATTACAGATGTAGGTGCGTGAATAAATGGTATTGTATCTGCACTATTAATGCTTGACCAAATATGAAGTAGATGAACGCTCGTTGATAATAACAAAACAGGCTGAAAGTGATATCTCGATGTCTGGTGTCCATCAAAATGATGAGTGATACATGGAAGGTATCCATTCGAAGAAGCACACTGGCACATCAAGCCAGCCTTTGATAATTGTTAATTAATGAAGAAATAGAATGCGAGACCCAGTGTTGGCGTTAGTATACGGTAGTATTACAGGAACCCGTACTAGTATTGGAGATTTGATATAGTAAATTGTACATATTGAGCATATGTATACTAATGTCTGTATATATTGTTATTATTATCTAATACAAGGAACTAAATGCAATATAGTAGGGAAATACCAGAAGAATATTGAAATTATGATTCAAGATATAGGAATAGTCTCAAATTTCGAATATTCCTGTGACGGAACAGACGGCTCTCTTCCGCTCACTGGCTCATACTACATACGTAGTATGATATGACGGCTCTTTTGGACCTTCCTTTCACAGCTTAGAGCTTTAGCTCTACAGCTCTAGACCTAGGCATCGTACGATGCTTATCTCTAGGACTCTTTCACTCTTCTGGGCCTAGCCCTTATGGCTCCCAAATACCTGTATATATAGTCCTCCTTTTAGCACCCTACATAGTTCTTCACTTGTAGATTCTAAGTACACAATCGGAGTCCTGTTTATACCCTTTTGGTCACAATTCCCATATTTCGTTTAATAGTATTCGATAATCATATAGGAATAATCTCAAATTTTGATGAAGTATAAGATATTCCTATATTTCATTCAATAGTCCTAGGAATAGTCTCAAATTTTGATAAAATGCGAAGTAATTTATTAGTAATTTCAATATATATCAATAGAATTCCCGTATTTGTATACCCTGTATCTGAATATATTGATATCTATATTTCCACATCCCTTTAGTAGTACTCTGTATTGTAAAAATATTTAATACTTTCAGTGGTATAGAATATGATACCAAGTACATATTTTCGAAATATTCGTGCATACCACTGATTAGGCACATATACGAAATACGGGAAATCCTAACGCAAACACTGAGGGAGGATGAATACTAAGATCGGATATTATTCTTGGTCCTGACTCGATGACAGACAGACTGCAAAGGAAGTTTCTGCAATCTTTCGATTCTTCAATGGGCGCCTTAGATGATGATACTATTGACCCCTGCTCGACCAAAGAAGTTTGAATACCGGTATGTCCATTGCAAGGACAGCATTTAGATAGAAGGATAATAGCTCAAGACTTCTGCGAATTGTTAGCCTTCTTATTGATTATTGAATCAGGTTGTGAACCCTTAAGAATTCGTGCGTGACTCTATGTGATGGAAAGAAAATGTTTGAGATTTGCACAGTGCCGGTACAACCATATCCAAATCATAGGTATTTTCGCAAATATATCTGCCTATTTTTCCCTCTCAAATGTTCATATCGACGTTAAGATAGCTGATTGTTCAAATCAGATAGGAATATTGACATTGGCTACTCGTATAATGCCATCTCTTTCTAGGTATGTAGAGTGTCGTTGGTTGTGGATCAAAGATGTAGTCAGCATCAAGGTTATGTAATCAATTTCACTAGTTTCATGCCTCAAATTTGACGACCAACCATCTCGAACATTTTGCATCTGAAATACATCGGTGACATCGGCCATGATAGCAGTCGACACATAACCAAAATAAAAACGAAGTTGGTCGAATAATATACATGCGAGATCAAATGCCTCATGCGGTGAGTTGGGACAGAATTCGCACGACATTTTCTTCCTAAGCTTCACTCGAACCACAACTCTTTCTAGGTGTAGACGAGGTCCCGATAGCCCCCAGTTCATAAGGATGATTCACGGTGGGCTGTGGGTGCTTTATGGCAAGCAATGCTCTATATCTATCTGTGCCGGGGATTTCAGGGATTGATACCCTCGCTCCGAGAAATGAGATAAACTCAAAAGCATAATAACACCTGCGGGGAGGAAATGGAATCGAATAAGCAACAAATTGGACAACTTAGTAGACGGAATGGATCGCTCTTTTGTAGGATCTACTGCTGCGGAAATTGGCTATACATAGCTCCCAAGCCTTGAAGTCTAAATGTAATGTGTAACAATGAGGATCGTTCCAGAGCCCAAGTCTGTTTCGCCTCCAATATTTGTGTAGGCCATTAGCTGCAAGTGCATTGCAAATGCAAGGTACACAGATTGGAAAAGGTATATTACCCTACTTTTGTTGCCACAACCATGACGAATTGTAGAGTGACATTGTCCAAGCAATTGTTATATATCGAGATAGATATAAAGCTTTCACCGTGGAAGCTTATCATTTTTCGAATGTTTGAGGAATACCCAGTGGTACGGGTCTGCGGTATCGCTCCTAGAATATGTTACTGCTTGCAACTGCCGAAAGCTCAAAGTACTCGAAGAGTAACAATTCCCATGTAATTCAATCAGGTCCCCCACATTCGATTTTTGTTGCAGAAGCCACAAAGTTGATGTTTGCTGAATCCATTTGAGCATATCGCCTTGTAAGTGATCGTTTTGCAGAACGAAACTGGCCCAAGCTTTGCGATCAGCTTCTGAGTGGCCGGTCTGATCATTCATCCCATATTGTTTTGCGACATGCGTCTTTAGTCACAGATGCGCTAAAATAGCCGCCATGGGCCGCTGCGGCTAGTTCCCGCCGCTACCACCTCAATTTTTCAGACGTGTATTTGAGAACTGGCCACTCAGAAGCTGATCGCAAAGCCTTGGATCGTTTACGCTCATTCTGGACCAACCATTTCCTAGCGTCTCCTTCCTATCCTAGACGTTGAATCTGGAGGGGTCTATTGTTCAGATATGCAACGTTATTTCCTCGAAATTTATTCACTATTCCAGCCGCCCTTAGAGGAGGTACGGCCCTACACTGGGGAGACCGAGGGTGGTTTTCTGTTGCACGTCTGAACAATTGATCCCTGTACATCGCCCAGAATAGGAAGGAGACGCTAGTAAATGGTTGATCCAGAATGAGCGCAAAACACAGTAAAGGGACCCAAGCTTTGCGCTCGTCAATCCATTGGCCACATCCCTACTTCGAGATCTTTGATATCTTATCAGATCTCAAGCCGCATCTAGTGGCCCCGCTACTCCCGTCCCATACATTCGCCTCCCGATAACGACGTATCGAAGTCGGGTTTCTAGACACTGGATAGTCTGGATAGTGGGCCCCAATGGCTCATGCACCTTGTTAAATATATCAGCTTGCGCACGACGATCCCTAATCTTTTAAAAAGATTCTTCCAGAGTTTCGGACGTCATCGCTGTTCAGGTATGCAACAGAAAATGGCGCACCATCATATTCACTATCGCGACCACGTGAAAAATCAAAATCTGGGGAATTGTTGCACATCTGAAGGACATTGAAATTGACGTAAGCAAGATTAGATAGCCAATAGCTGTGCGAGCGCATTTCTGTTCTTTAATAAGCCAATGGTTGTTCGGCCGCAATACTGAGATGTTGCATATCCCATAATACTACCATCTCAATCTTTGGGATCACCCGCCTCGAGAGGTTTTTTTCATTGTTTACTTCGAAATTGAAAGACCAATAGACCATCGAGCGCAAAGCATAGACCGCAAGTTGCGCAACTGAGCTCGTAGGGCTGATTTGCTGTGTAAGCATAGAGCCAATGAACAACTGAGCGCAAAGCTTGGGGCATCCAATCGAGGAGTGAATTCGCGTTTGGTTGCATATCTCAAAATTCCCTAGTGCTTCCCCAGACTCCTTCCTACCCGCCGCCAACAATTCAGATGGTATAGAGTGGCCAGTAGAAGGTCGAGCGCAAAGCTTGGGCCATACACTGAAGAGGTTTTGTTGCTCATCTGAACATTGTATAGCACCCCCCCCCTCAGCCCTAACAACGCCATCTTGCCTCCGATCCGGCGCTAACAGTCAATTGCTCCTGCAGGTGGCCCTGGGTGTAGCCAATAGCTTGTCGAGCGCAAAGCTGGGACCACTGGAGTAGAAGTGTTGGACTGACCAGTAGTTTGTTGCGCGCCCGCGTCACGTGGTAGTTTCAAAATCTTAAATTGTTTTGTTGCACGTCTGATGAGACGTAAAAAAATTACAGCGTCTTTGGTTTTTCGACACTCTTTCTAAATCAACAAATCGAAACCATATCCGTTTTGTGCCAAAAGTTCGCATATACAAGCCTCGATCCTACTCTTAATT